TTTTAAACATCTATCGGGATATAAATACGGGTTGGTCACGAGATCAAATTCCATAAAGCCCGAAGGGCTTTATGGTAAATTTGATCTCGTACCAACCCGTATTTATATCCGATAGATGTTTTAAAATGATACCTTATTACTTATATTTACATTTGTGACTTATTCATATTATTTATTAGCCTGATTATAACCTTTAACGCATGAAATGTTTTATTTTTTCAAACTCAACGGCACAAGTTTGATCTATTGATTACGCGTCGACCCTTTATGACGTCACTGAGAAATTACGTCGAACGTTTATGACGCGAGGAACCCGTGTTTATACGGATATAGACACACATTGCTTTTAATAGTGTTATATAAAGGAAAACATTTGCAAATGTAAATATATACCTATACTGTACTGTAAAATACATGTCATGTATATTCTCAATAACGTTTTCTATACTAATAAATGTTCTCGGCTGAAAAAAAAACACAGCATATACATACAGAATCTTCATTTGACATTACCCATGGTGACATTACCCATGGTAATCCAAGTAAATATAGGTCAATGACGTAAATTGAATAGTATTAAAAATATCTTTTTTTATAACTTCCATACAGTATATGATCGTTTTATTGATTATGTGGTGAATAGGGATGTCACAAAACATCATTTACTGTGATACAGAGGGGGTCTATTCTATTCGATACTTTCATGGAGTGTACCTATAATTGTTCTCAAGTTTTGGTTTTAAAATTATAGTATTTGCATATACCACTGGCAAAAATTTGAATATTTGGAAAAAGAATTATTGAGTTAAATTTGTTTTTTCCAGATAAAAAAGAAAAGATGTTTTTTCTTGCTTTTATTTTTGCTGATACAAAATGCTGAAATCTACATCGGACCATTAACTGTAAAAAGAAAAATATGATGTTTCATACATGCATTTCTCTGAAATTTTGCGATACATCATGCATGATATTTTAGTCCTTACGACACACAGCCCTAGTGTTGGTCAGGTGATCAGTTTTCCAGTGCCCTTATAACCCAGGAAGTAGATCATCTGTCTATAAATTGGGTCCCAAGTTCAACTTCTGATGTGGTCCCTGACAATTATCCTTAATTGTATTGAATGTCATGGCCATAAACAGGGAGTTACAAATGAGAATTAAGTGGCTGGATGTTTCCGGATTGGTGTCTTAAAATGTTCATGTAGTCATGAAAGATTAAGAAATGATGCTCAGGCATGTTCATTTATTGTTGAACAGATACATAGGTGAAAGACAACGTCTTAAAAATAGAACTCTTGGGGTTGGGTAGTTTGAGTCCTTGACTGGTCTGGAGCGCGCCCTCTCTTTCCCTCTTATGCTGTTTGATTTTGAGTTCCCTGGCTAGACAACTCATGTCATTACAATTTGATTTTAACATCGATTGATTTATCTTTAGACAATAAAATGTAAAAATGTTCTCTTATGGCTCCGCCCTCACCAACGGTCGCACCGTCTAACATATTACCGTATAAACTGGGAAGTTATTAAATTCATTCCTTAAACAAAACTTTTACAGTCTTTCCATTGTATACACTGTATAACTTTAATGCAATCGAAAGACGAGATGAAGAGAAATATTTTTAAGAACTTTCAAATTTGAATTAAATAGTTTATGACTTTAACTTTTCAATCGTCAACTTCCCTTACTTATGCAGCAATATACCTTCTACACCTGCATACGGGGTTTATATCTCTCAGTTGATTCGATACGCAAGAGCATGCTCTACGTATATGCAATTCTAAAACGTGGTAAATTACTGACAAACAAGTTGATGAAACAGGAATATCTATGGTCGATACAATGACCTTGTCAGCAAATACAATTTATCACTGAGTCAAATGCTGACTGACGTGTTTCACACTAATTGTTAGGCCATTATTTACACACTGAATTGACGACGGATTTTTCCGTTATTTCCCGATCATGACAAGGAGCACACGGCGGGTGTGACCGGTCGGCAGGGGATGCTCACTCCTCCATGGCACCTGATCCCACCTCTGATGTTTTGGAGGTCCGTGTTTGCTCTGCTCCTACTAGTATTTTGTATTGTTTAATGGACTTTTGAGCGTGAATACTGTTCGTTATCTCCATATATTTCATTGAATGTAAAAGAATTTTTTCTGTATATTAAGAGTATTTTTACTTAGTCACCTTTTATTTATTTTTTTATTATTATTATTATTTTGTCAAAAGTACGGGAAAATATGACGTCAATCAGAGACTTGTTAACGTTATTATGACGCCACAATAAGCGTAACCATTAGTATATTGTAAAACATCATGAAGAAAAAATGGGGTCATATAAGCCATCTCATTTAATAATTGTTCGAATATCTTAAAAATGTTTCAGATTCCAACCCATAGGACATTTTGCACATGACACAATGCACTGAACACTAGATTTTTATGTGTAATTTTCAACCCCAAATTGGCCCAGAGGGTGAAAATGAAAATTTCAAACCTTAATCATGTTAATGCTTATCTACAGGACACCAGCAATCACCTTTCAAAAGATAATTTAGCTATTTAATACGTAAAATCTTAGAGGAGTTCTGTGAACCTGGGTTTTTTTTTGTCGAAAAATTTTGTTTTTCGACCCCATTTTGACCTTTAGGATGAAAATGAAAATTCTGAAACCTTATTGCACAACTAGAATACACTACCATTCATCTTCCAAAAGATTATTTGGCTACTGCTTAAAATGTAAGAAAACTTCAGAGAATCAGTGTTTTTGTAGGAATAAATGGTCCTTGTTGGCGCCCATTTAGCCCCTAGGGTAAAAGAAAAATGAAAATTCAGAAACTTTTATTCAAATCTACAACCATCAGTAATCATCTTTCAAAAGATAATTTAGAGGAGGGTGTAGAAAAAATGTTGTTTTTCAACCCCCGTTTAACACCTAGTGTGAAAATGAAAATTCTGAAACCTTATTGCACATCTAGAGGACACTACCATCCATCTTCCAAAAGATGATTTGGCTACTGCTTAAAACGTAAGAAGAGTTCAGGGAACCAGTGTTTTGTTTTTTGCTTTTGTTTTGTTTTCGTTTTGTTTTGTTCTTGTTTATTTTTTTTTGTTTATTGTTTTTGTTTGTTTTTTTTTGTTTTTGTTTTGTTTTTGTAAAAAAAAACATCATTTTTGAACCCCGCTTTACCCCTAAGGTGAAACCTTATTGTATATCTACAGGACACCACCAATCAAAAGATGATTTTGCTATTGCGTAAAATGTAAGTTAAGTTCTGAAAACCAGGGTTTTTATGAAAGAAAAAACTTTTTTTTGACTCCCATTTGACCCCTAGGATTAAAATGAAAATTCCGAAACCTTATTACACATCTAGAGTAAACTTCCATTCATCTTCCAAAAAGATGTAAAATGTAAGAGGAGTTCAGGAAACCAGGGTTTTTTTTGTAGAAAAAGGATCGTTTTTTGACCCCCATTTGGCCCTGTGATGAAAAAGAAAATTCCAAATCCTTATTGCACATTTCAAGGCACCAGCAGTCATCTTTCTAAAGATGATTTGGCTACTGCATAAAATGTAAGAGGAATTCTTGTAACCAGGTTCACTTAGAAAAATGTCATTTTCGACCCCCGTTTGACCCCGGTGGTGAAAATAAAAAATTCCGAAAACTTTTTGCACATATACAGGACAGGCCACCACCTAGCATCTCTCAAAAGATGATTTGGCTACTGAGTAAAATGTAAGAGTTCAGGGAACCAGATTCTTGTAGAAAAAACGTTATTTTACCCCAGGGTAAAATTGGAAACTCCAAAACCTCATTGCACATCTTCAGGACAACATCTATCATATTCCAAAAGATCAACTGGTTACTTCTTAAAATAAAAGAGGGGTTTGAGGAAGAAGAAAATGTGACAGACGGACGGGCCAAGGTAACAACAATATACCCGAACTTTCTTCAGAAAGAAGAAATAAAAGAATAAAAGAAGAAGAAATACATGTCAAAATAAATTGATCGAAATAAAATGTTATGCTAAGTTTATAATCTACTCATAACTTAATTGGTTGATTGATTGATTGAGTATTGTTTAACGCCGAGTCGGCAATCTTTCAGCCATATTTCGGCGGAAAATTTAGTTTAAATGACCGGTTTTTGAATGGTTTTGGTTTCTCTGGCGACCCACCAATGAGCCAACTCTTTTTCGAAAACCAGAGACGATCTTTTACATTGAAAAAGAGGGGAAAGCACAACATTAAGAGAACATTTTGCTAATTTTTTAAAATTGACTATGGATTATTCTGTCTTCTTGATTAATACATAGGGCTCCAGGCGGGTGTGACAGGTCGACAAGGGGATGCTTACTTATCCTAGGCATGCGCAATAGATCCTACCTCTGGAATGTACAGGTTCCGTGTTTTATGCCCTGTTCATAGATTTGTATTATGGCTTTTAGGCTTTTGAGATTGATTATTGTTCGTTATCTTTGTCTATTTTTTTTTTTTTTTTTTAATTTTTTGTTTGTTTGCTTGTTTTGTTTTTTATTCCCATATTTTTTGCAGAGGGTAAGGGATGGGGAGTTAAATGTTGATGACTTTTTAAAAGCCTTATCTTGTGTAATGGGTTGCGTTTTATGTACTCGTAAAGCATGTCAAATATATTGACTATGTACCTACCGATTAAGAAAGAAGTACTTTTAATTTGACAGCCGTATTTATTGTATAATAATTTATGAACCCCCTCATGATCTGGCATCCCCTTTCGACTACTTTCACGCAATAAAATTAATAGACAAACACACATAAAATTGTTTGAGGTCAAGACAAGAGTTTGATTTAGTGGTAAAAATATTTTAAAAACAATTTTAGAAGAACTTACATGTTAGTACGACGTGATGACATTGGTTGTTCTTTTGAGTCTTCCTAATTGTAGCCCCACTTCAGTTTCTATATAAAAGTAACAAACCTCTAGAATCAAATAAGTCCAAAAACTAGGATCTTCAACAATGCAGCACCCTACCTTTATTTTGATAACAGTATCAGTAATACTAAATATTTGTATCTGCTTCCCATTGAGTCAATTCTATGATTTTGGTTTCGATGCTGGAGACAGCGAATTGCCCGCAAATGACGATGGCTCTACTTCAAGTATTTCTATTGCAGTACCATTTCCTTTCTTTGGATCTTCTTACAATTCCATTTACGTAAGTATAATGGTTTTTAAACTAGAAAAAACTAGAAAATACATGCATAATCTACTTGTTTTCAAAAATACCATTTCAATTTAAAAACCGCAAAACGTATACCTGAAATAAAATGAGATTATGTTAGTTTATTTATTAAGCTTATTTATTTATTTTTGTTCATTAGTACTTTAGATTATTCTAATTTATTAGGTCAATAACAATGGGGACGTTACGTTTGAGGCGCCATTGAGACAGTTTACATCACAGCCCTTCCCAATAAATGGAAGTCATAGAATCATAGCACCATTTTGGACTGATATAGATACAAGGCAAGGAGGGAAATTATGGTATCGCAATACCACAGACTCCTCCATATTACAAAGAGGGACTAATAAGATCAACTCTCTCTTTCCTGACATTGTAAATTTCACTGCCACGTGGATGATGATCACCACATGGGAAGATGTAGCTGCGTATGGCTGCTCTGCCACCAGTGGAATAACGTGTCAGCAGGTAAGATAACATTTGTTTATTGATAATATTCATTTCATATTTGCTAATATAAATAAGGAAATTAGAACACATGTTTGAGTCTGTAACCCTTATTTTGTTTCATTGCAGTGGAACACATTTCAGCTTGTTTTAATCAACGATGGAGTTTATTCATTTGTCGTATTTAATTACAACAAAATCAACTGGACAATGTCTGCCCAGGTACCAGAAATAAATTTATTATTCTTTATGTCTGTTGAAAAATTTCAGCTCGTTTAGATGGTACATGTAACAATGTCATACCTTTCATCATATAAATTAAGTATATATGAGTCTTTGTGTTCCTTTTCCTGGAAGGTCGGGTTTAACGCTGGTGATGGAGAAAATTACTATTCCGTTCCTGGGTCCATGACATCCGCGATGTTAAATCTTCCTCAGATGTCTAACATTGGAATTCCAGGACAGTTTGTTTTTAGAGTGGATCAGTCTAAAATAACTAATGCAGGTTTGTTCTCTTATCGAATTCGGATATCGTCACTTGTCGTTCTGCTCATGTAATAAATTTTCTCAAATTCCCATATAAGAGTTTATACAATAGAATGGAAAACTTAACCTTTCTTCAAGCAAATTGTAATATTTTCACAGATATCGTTGATGAATGCGCCAGTTCTCCGTGTATTCACGGAAATTGTTCAAATGAGTATCTATATTATGAATGTATCTGTGATCCTGGATACACGGGTGTGAACTGTGAAAATGGTAAGAATTAGATACTTTAAAAGAAATATTGTTAATAATTATAATCAATTCTTTCCAAACGAATACCATAATCTAAATGTTTTTTATTATATGATTGAATAATTCTCATCTCTCTGATTGGTTGAGATCCAACATTGTAGAAAAAAATACTAAGTTATGTTCACCTGTACATGTATTCTATATTGGGCTAAAAATAGAATAAAAACTTCAAAATTGATACAAATAGTTCGGAAAAGTTATTTCACTTGCACCCGACTTTCCTTTAGTGAAATAACATTCTGACACATAGAATCGGGGGAGGGGCTGCCTCCTCCCCACTATTTTAAGGTAAAATTTTACGATTAATTTAGTATGAAATTGTTCATTCCCCCTCCCCCCAGTTAATTGTTCCTAATACCCCCCCCCCCCCACCGACTTGTAAAATTTTGAATTTGGTGAAATCTCTTTTGGGGGGCTAGTCAGTTTTTTCAGGTGAGTTGTCATTTTTTCTGATTATACCCCCTTTCAAAATCTATACCACGTGCCTGACGCATATTTTTTTTTTTATCCTAAAACAACAGGGCATAATATTTTAACCCACCCTGCTTCTTTCATTGCGTTTGGCTAGGACTTCAGCAAATGTAAACACGTAAGATGACATATATTAATTAACGAGTTTGTATCGAGTTTGTATCTGATTTATTTAAACATTGAATCGTATAATAAAAAAATCATTGCTGTTTTTCAGTCAATACGATGATTAATCCACCTTCGAAGTACAATATTCACCTCGCCCTTCGGGTTTTTTAAGTGGCCAAATCTTTGTATTGACCTCAAAAACATCAATAATTGTACAATTTCTGTTTTTCTGACTTGCAGATGAAACGATAAATAGGTAGTTTTGACCTTTAAAACATTCAAAACCCTACATTTTCCCTTTCCAAATAATCTGCTTAAATTTAACTTGTCACATTTCCAAATACTTAGGATATATATATATATATATATATATATATATATATATATATATATATATATATATATATATATATATATATATATATATCATCATATATAAGACAGCAAGATATCTATCAAATTAAATGAATTCAAAAAATTATAAACATTCTTCGATTTACACCTGTATCTACGATTTTTTAAGAAATTGATGAGTGTCAAAGTTCGCCATGTATCCATGGAAACTGTTCTGACCATCTTGATTATTATACTTGCCATTGTCAGGAGGGATTTACAGGAACAAACTGTCAGACAGGTATGAATTCATATAATTTAATTATTATGCTTCGAAACATTCCGAATACGAGCGTTCAAAATCGAACGCCACGTTAACGCTGTAAATAAAAAAATGTCGTCTGGTCAACCGCTCAACGGCAATATTTATAATGGGTAGTGGAAGCTAGGTGATATGTGTCTATTTTCACACAAAATTGAAATTATTAATAAATAATTAAGTACCTATGAGTCTCAATAAAAACCTTAATAAGCAAATCATAACAGTAACCGTTGCTGGGTTGGCGGGGTCCTTGGAATGATGTGATATTGAACACTCTGAGGTCGGATGCTGATACTATACAGACTTAATTTAAATACTAATACTGAAAATTCTCCTTAATTTGGAAAATTGTTTTAACTATATAATCATTTATTGAACTTATATTGGTTGTACAAAATGCACGAGCTTGCGATATTATTTCAATAACCCTATAATATTTGCAGATATGGTCGACGAATGCGCTAGTTCTCCCTGTATTCATGGATATTGTTCAAATGAATACCTTCATTATGAATGTACCTGTTATCACGGATACACGGGTGTGAACTGTGAAACTGGTGAGAATTACTTAGATTTGTACATTATATTAAGTTGATTGTTTTAAAAAAATCATCTTATCTGTTTTATGTCTGTCTGCCTAGCACTCATTGTTTTAAAGAGAACAACTCAAAAAAGATAAAATAGGTCATTTATTGAACATAAATGACAATACACAAATAGGAATACACATAATAGCCTGTTGCATAAAAGTACATAATATGCCCAATCAAAAAGCATGCAACTAGGATAACAGTCCTACCAAGAAAAAAGGGTTGCATAGAATATATTATGCATTTGCTGAATAAATTATGTACAACATGGGAATATTTGTATTTAACTGAAAAATATTTGGACTAGTACATTGAAGGGACTAGAAAAAAAAACAATATCATTACATATGACAAACTGTGTTATGGGGCGTTACATCTTTTTTTTTTCTAACCATTATCATACTTTCAAGAGAACATGCGGTTTACATATAGGTCGTTTTTCCTCATTAAATGTCTGACATGCAAATTAAACTGTTAATAGATAGTATTTGCCTTCAATTTTCAACTGCAAAAGAGGCAAAGCATCAGTAAATAGACTAAAAAATGAATTCTGTTCCATGAGGAATTTTGAGCTATTTTTTCTGAGGAGAAAAGCATCATAATATCTTACAGTTAGTACCAAATTTATGAAGAAAGGAGTCCTGTAGGTTTTGTTTTGAGTATATTGAAGGAGGAGTCTCTAACAAAAAAAAATTACTTTATTAAGCTACAGTTTAATATAGTTAACAATAGTGTACTATATATTATCAAAGTTTTTACTATGGTAAGTAGAGTATTTTTAGTTTGAATTTCAAATTGTTCTATTTTTTTTCTTCTTTATTTGATTCCTCCAGAAAATAAGATTGAAAGGAGATACTGCCATTCACAAATAATAATTGTTTTTAAGTTATGTTATGCTGCCTCCCATCATCTCTTGTGTTGATTGTAAACCTGTAAGTCTTGTTAACGTACCTAACACCATACAACTAATAAGAATTTTTTTAAAAAATCTATTATCAAATCCATATTTCCGCACATAACGCAGGTTTAAATGTCAAAGCAAGCCGTCGACTTTAAAAGCCAACGCTTCTCGCAAGAGTCCAATAATATGGTGTTTATGTCTCCAAACTGATTCCATAAACAAGCGTGTTCCAAGTATGATCAATTTTTAAACCAAGGCAAGCTTCTGACGAATAAGTTTAAGTTACAAGGATTTCAATATCCCCATTTAAAGTAAGCTTTTTGCGAATTCTACGGTCGTTATAATATCCTTGCTTGTACAAAATCGTATTTTGTCTGACATTTTTTATACCAATTGTTTAGGTTATTGCTTTTATACTAAATTTAACTACGAGGTACTCCGTATATATGATCAATACATAGGGCTTACGGCGGGTATGACCGGTCAACAGGGTATACTTACTCCTGCTAGACATTTGATCCCACCTGTGGTGTTTCCATTGGTCCGTGATTTTGCTCTGTTCACGATTCGTTTTGTTTTCTGGATTTATGAGATTGATCACCGTTCATTATCTTCATATTTTACACTAAAATTGTTTGCAAATAAGATGGATGGATAAAAAAGGGAGGTGTTAATCCTGGATTCATACATCCTAAAGCTTCCTCTTACTTAAGAGGTATAAATGTTTTTCTTTCAAATACAAACTAAAGAGCCTTGTTTTTGCAGTAACCCTTATGTGTTTTTGTGGATTTTTCCCCTCTATTTCTTATATCTTTAATTGTGTCTTAACTTCAAATAAAGCCTTTTATCACCGTAAGCATGCATGACCCACCCACCAACGCTTGGCATTGTCAGGGTTCTCCATGGGCCGTTAACGTGGCGGCTCCGCCACAGTTAAATTCTTTTGCACCACAGGTTAAAAGTCAGCGCCATAGTTTCGCCACAGTAAAATATTAGCGCCACAGCAATATCGTCGGCGATCATGAGGATAAATGTATAAATTTATAAACTTCAAAATGAACCCCCAAATTATGTACTATTATCTTATGCTGAACAGTTATTTTGCACTAATTAGGTCCCATTGTTTGGCTTGCAAAATCAATTATCTTCTAGGCCTTGATGGACAAAATTATTTTTTAAGTACGTTTGTAGTTTTTGTTTTTTTTTTGTTTTTTGTTTTTTTTTTTTTTGGGGGGGGGGAGGAGGAGGGAGTGGTACAGAACACCTATATTCTAATTTTTCTTTTTACACTATGTTAAATTCGATATCCATTAATTGTTTTTCGTTATCATTAAATTTATAGTTCAATTTTCCAAATATTTACTACCATTTTTGCATTAAACTCGTGATTCAGAAAAGTTGTGTGTTTTACAATTTATTCAGTAGTTGCCTCGCTAACTTGGTCGTGAAAAGACCGCCAGTATATGCAATTCGCGCACGTCTTGCTCCACATTTAAATTTGAAATGATGGAGGACCCCGCATTATGATAGAACAATTGACAAATTACGAAATTATAATTTTCCCGTTTGCTTTCCGTAAAATAGTACTTGTCCCCTATAAATTTTCTTTTCGTTTACAGACTATTTTAAACTCAATAGAGTGCTTGAGGGTGAAGGATGTGCAGGGACCTTAAATAAATGTTCTCTCTGTGACATGGTTTTAAAGCCACAGAGAGGAAGATATACAAGTATTTGGTAATAAAACTTAAAAACATTGTACCAACATTATGGACCCGCTAAACACTTTCTTGACTTTGAGAAAATTCTAAAGCTTAAAGGAGTACGTATATGTATTAAAATAAATTTAAAAAAAAAGATAAAATAACACCGTTCATTTTTAAGATGAGATGCGTGCCTTTTTTACCAAGGGGAATCTTCAAAGACAACGAAGTAATGATAAAGAAAAATTGCATTTGCTTACTGAAAAGGGGAAAATACATGCAAATAAAGTTTTCAATTACGCTATTTTGGTCAAATATAATGTTAAGAATACTTGAATTAATTAAAAATGATGTAATACAATGCAGATTGCAATTACGTTTATTTTAAATAATTTATCGACGTAATAAAATTTTCCATTCGAATATCAGGCTATATGATATTATTTTTATTTTTATGTTTTGTTTAACAAGCAAAAAAAGAATTTATGCATACTTTTCTCACCTTAACCCAAAACTGATTTTTATTTCATTATATTTTTGCCGATATATAGTATACTGAAAAAAATAAAGCTACTTTATACTGTGCCCTATCAATAATTACGTCTGATGACTCTTTTTGTTTCTCTTTTTTTGTAACCTTTATTACTTTAATTTCCTAGTCACTAGATACATGTACTTACCCCACCTCTGTTGATTTTTCGATGAAATCCTGGCTTACGATTGGTTGAAGTCTGTCACGTGAAGGGGGTGTATTACTTATACCTAGTCGCTTGAAAATCAATACATGGTCGATACGGAGTTATCATTCTTTTGTAACGTTCGAACAACTCGAGTTTGCCGAGTGTCTGTTGACAATGTTACAGTTAACTAATGTAAGTAACGAAGATGGAACCTTTTTCTCCCTTTACTGAAAGTCTTCAAAACTGTCAGTACGTTATTAGTCTATAGCACGAAACACTCGCAAAACAACATTACCTCACACAACGTGACGTCATAATACGCATTGTATGAATGATGAAACATATTTATTATATATTTGTTATATAATACAGGATTTTTGCATACCTGATATGAACACAGGCACGCGCCCTGTATTACACACCCTGTATCAGCACCCTTTATTTTACCCTTTATCACACCCTTTATTACACCTTTCCGGAACATCTCTGTATTTTTCATTCGGAGTACCTCGGATCTTTTCCTATTTCTTTCCAAAGTTTCTTCAAAATTGTAATTTTATGTCATCAGACATTTTATGTTATTCAAAATAATTATTTGTTTGATTTATAATAATTTCATTTCTTATCGCTGAATGCATTTATTTGCCTTTAAAAAAAGATTGAGAAACGGAAATTCAACAAAAACAGAACACATTCAATTATTAAAAATTCAGTAATTAATTTACAAGTTTATATATGATTTTTAGACACTATTTTCAAATATATAATAAAAACAACAATACAAGACAAAATCTGTATCACACCCCATATCAACCCTCGACCAATATCAGCCCTCTGGCCTTCGGCCCTCGGGCTGATATTGGAGTCTCGGGTTGATATGGGGTGTGATACAGATTTTGCCATGTATTATTCTCTATATATAGTGAGAAAAACAATTTTACAAACCACAGACAATGCATAAATATTTTATCGGTGGGGTAAATTCGTTACATAGTTTTTTAGTGTCAGGGTACGGGATGATACCTGGTTAGTAAATTCCATACCTGGCTCGGCTTCGCCTCGCCAGGTATAAAATTTACTAACCAGGTATCATCCCGTACCCTGTCACTAAAAAACTATGTAACTAATAATGCATATTGCTCGCTAATAATTCACACATGGCAGATAACATCAAGATTTTTGCTGATCACACCTCCTGCCCCACACTGTAAACCAGAAAATACGTCGCCATTTTGCGATATAGATATTCTTGATATAAATCTATTATATATTGTTTGAGAATGAAATATGAAGATAAGAACGAACAATAATCAAGCCCAAAAGCACATTGAAACAATACAAATTTGGAGCAAAGCAAACAAGGACCTCTAAGAGCATCAGAGATGGGATCAGGTGCATGGAGGAGTAAGCATCCCCTGTCGACGGGTCACACCCGCCTTGTCTCCTTGTTATGATCAGGCAAACGGAAAAATCCGTAGACAAATCAGTATGAAAATAATGTCCTAACAATTAGTTTTTGAAAATGTCAGTCTACACTCGACTTAATAATAGATTGTATTTACTGATAAGGTCATTGTATCGACCATAGAATTTGCGAAATGTTGACTTTAAACGAAACTGTTGATATTCTTGTTTCATCAACTTATTTGTCAATAGTTTGCCTCGTTTTAGAAATTGTTCGTACCTAGTGCATGCTCTTTCGTATCAACTCAACTAGGAGACATAACCTTATATGCAGGTGATAATGGTATATTGCTACAATAATAAGAGTTGACAATAGAAAAGTTGAAGTAATCACCTATATCATAAAGTTTTATAGGTTACCATTAACTTCTTTTCTAGTGAAATATCCTAATATGAAATAAATGTATCAGACTATGTGGTATCTTTTATTTCGAGTTCAAATAGAATATCGAATCAACGTAGGAATGAAAATGAATATTGTTAATTGATAAAACGATATATCTAAATGTTGAACTGAAGACCACAGCAAGAGACTTCTTTTCATGTAGACGTTTTTGAATAAATTCTGCTTCATAAGAGTACAAAAATAGGTCTGCTAATAATGGTGCACACTTATTACCTATAATAAGAATTTAAGAATATTTTGCTTAACAACCCCAATATATTTTTAATTTCATTCTGATTTATATATAATACTCTTGCACTGTTATTAGTTCAAATGACCTGTTCGATGTAAATGTCTACAATGATTTCTTGATGGGCAAAACTTAGCTAAAGGGACTAGGCCTAATCGAATCTTAAACCGCCTTCTGATTGGTTAATTTACATATATACAGATCTTGAATCTCGAAATGCGAATATAGCTTCGTATTTTAAACTCAAATTTCGAATGGACCTTCTGGGCTTTCGTAGTTAGGGCACTAAAACCTCCTTCACAAATTTCATTGTTATCATTCTTCTGAACAGACATTAACGAATGCACAAATTCTTCCTGCGTGAATGGTACATGTACTGACCAAGTCAATGGATATACCTGTGAATGTATACCTGGTTATACCGGAGTCAACTGTGAAACAGAAGGTACATTTACTTCCCATACAAATCAATTTTAGAATAAGTTATTATTCTTCTGACCTTATATTAATAGTTTTGATTGGAAAATCTACTACTATGAATTCCATTTTTCAAAGAACATAATGTACATATGGAAAGGAATGGATTTGCATATACTTTATATTTTTATACATTTAAGCTCAATTAAAGGACGAATGTGCAAGTTCACCGTGTAAGCATGGAGTGTGTATTTATGAAATTAATAACTACGTTTGTGTCTGTGATACGGCATATTATGGGAGAGATTGTTCACAGTGTATGTATATAAAAAAGAATAAATAAATAAAAAAATATTATGTTCAATTCAAAATTCATCTAAGTTAGGTTTTCAATTTCTCTGAAAATCTATATTATATACAAAATCTCTTAAACTATTTTTCAAATGCATCTTGTCAGATATAATGAAATACTTTATACATGACTATAACACTTTATATGTCTTTATTTTGAAACCGTTCCCAGAACTTAAAAAAAATATCCTTTTTTTCTTTTTAGTTAACTTCTCCTACTTAATACCATTATTGGTAGGATTGCCGTTGTTGTCATTTGCCCTCGTTCTTCTTTGGAAAAGATTCAAAAGGTACGGAGGTTTATATCATTTCATTTAACAGCAAAAGTAGGAGGACCGGTAGAATCCAAATTTAAATATTCCTTACAATCAACATAATAATGAGACCTGGGTGCATATATATATATATATATATATATATATATATATATATATATATATATATATATATATATATATATATATATATATATATATATATTATTCATATATAATACACATGTATATATGAAGTTTCTGGACATTACCTGATTCATGTTTAATCTCCTTAAGCATTTTTTAAAAATTTGCCTTGGGTAAAAAATAATTCGAAATAAAGGACACAAAATAGTCTGCCACATCTGTTTCATATTGGGATATTTTATTGACTTTAGACCATAATGGCCAAATAATAACAAAACTATGTTAAAGGAGATGATTTTACCTTTTCTATCGACAACTTTCCTTACTTATATAATAATATTCAACTATCACCTGCATTTGGTATTTATGCCTCCCTTATTCGATACACAATTAAGAGCATGCTCTGAGAAGAACCGTTTTTAACCTGAGACAGGCTACTGACAGATAAGTTGATGTTACTTGGATTTCAACAACCTCGTTTAAAGCCAGCATTTCGTAAATTCTATTATATTGTCGTTATAATGACCTTGTTAGCAAATATAACTATCATGGGTCGTACGCGTATTTTGGTTGACGTTGTTTTCATACCAATTTTGTTAAATCATGACCTTTAAACAAAATTTGACTATGAAATTACTCCGTCTACCTAATCAATACTCCGGTGTTTCCTGTCAACATGGTATGTTTACTCCTCTTCGGCACCTGATCCCACCTCTTAGATTTCCAGGGTTTCGTGTTTAAGGCCCTGTTCACAAATTTGTTTTGTTTAAAGATTTTTAAAATTGCTCTTTGTTCACTATCTTCACCCTTTTCATTTTGTTTAATTATAGAGACAGTGACGTTGAGATGATTGGAGTTTTTCACTTCAGTGATACACCTTTAGGGCCAAGTAAGACATCGTTCCAAAAACAGACACAAAGTCTGTCAACCAGTTCAAAAGTCTTAGGATTTATGAATCAATTATGGCAAAGAATCATGAAAGTGATCAAACTAAGTGGGAAAATTACCGCATTTTCAAACAGCTCCACGAAAAATAAACAATGTTTTACGGGTGAATCAGCATTTCAAGTCGACAAAACCCATGTCGTACATGTTGATTTACAAAGCAGCTTTAATACATGTGAAATTGATGACACAAAATATTAATGAACATTACAAAACAATATTAAACCAAAAATATTTTTATTATCTGCCCCTTGTTTCAGAATATATCACTCAATGGAAAAATAATCATATCCCAATTAAAACAAAAACGAAAAAAGCTAAGAAAATCTCTCTCTCTCTCTCTCTCTCTAATATAAAAATAATATTTAAATTCGTGTATCTTAGTAAAAATCTCAACAAGAATTTTTCTGCTTAATAAGATATTGTTTCAATATAATAAAGAAATTAATAAATGAATTCGTTTTGTTGTGTTTTTTTTAATTTAATTATGTCGCCCCGAACGAAGTCGGGCGACATATTGCTATTGTACGCACAAAAACTTTGACCGGGAATGTTCTCGCAGATGGCTGGAACAATCGTGCTGAAAATTCACAAAAAATCGATCACCGGCTGTACTTGTGCAGTGAAGACTTTCAGTCTTGAAATGGCTATCGTTGCCATGGAAACATACAAAAAGTGAAGAATTTTGTCTAGAAGTGGTGTCGCTGATTCTTTGAACAGTCGTCATGAAACTTAACAGAAATGATAATCAGTAATTGTAGTTGTACATTTAACATTTAAAATTTTTCAAATTCCCCATCATTGCCACTGAAACAGAGGAAGAGTGAAAATTCTATAACTTCGGTTTTCTCAGGTTTTCTCAGTAACTGCTCAAGCAATCATTTTGAAACTTTATTGGATGATTCCTTGCATTGTGTCAAAGTGATTTCTATTTAAAAAAAAAAAATATGGAATTGGCCGCACACAGTTACCATAGAAACAAAACAGAGAAAAGGTGTTATGTTCACATATGTTCTCAGAGATGGCTTGAACAATCTTGATGAAACTTTACAGAAATTATATTTAGAAACTTTAGGTGTGCAGTCAACATTCAATTTTTTCTAAATTTCTACCATTGCCATGGTAACGGACGAAAAGTGAAAATTCTTTAATTTCTATTTTCTCAGCAACTATGCAAGCAATCTTTTGGAAACTTTAAAGGTTTATTTCTTCTACTGTATCAAAGTGGTTTCCGCAAAAATTGGATTCGATTGCAGTAGGTCTATTGCTTCAGCCACCGGAACGAAGTCGAATTTTGGTTCACCTTAGTTTTGTCCTCGAGTGTTCTCAAAGATGGCTTTCAAAATCCAATATTTCATTTTCTCAAAGTTTGTCGCTGAAGCCAGGTAAAGAACATATGATTTAAGAAAAGTCGCGGTCACGTGACCACTGTATGCTGACAGATTCTTTTAAAAAAAATCATTTTTTCACTTTTTCCTCCGACATTTTTGTTATTTAATATATTTTTGTGAGATTAGTCTATCTACAGATTTAATACACATTTTTGCAGGTTCTTAGTACGAATGTCCAAAATCCTTGTACATACGTTTATGTCTGATTTTTTTTTTTATCAAACTATAAATTATTAACGTTGTGTTTATTATCTATATAGAAGTTGTCAAGTTACTGTAACTGAGTTATTGTAGTACATATTTGTTATGAGTGCAGAATAAACCTCTGGGATGAGGAAAAATGACAATTTGTTTATTTCTAACTTGTTAAACACTACAAATTATTCAATTTTTATTTTCATTTATGATCGCCAGAACTGTTGATTTAGTGTGGAAGCAGTTAGAGTTAACAAGGCGTGTGTTTCATGTGCTAAATAAACCTCCGATGGAGGTAAAGAGGACGGAATACCTTCTTGATGCCATTGCAAGAAGTTTATAGAAAAACTTCGGTTGTATACTCGTATTTAGCAAACTGGCGTTACTTTTTCTAAACGATTAATAAAAAGTATGTTTTTGATAAGTGTCGTTTTTCTCCGATAATTTTTTTTGTTGAGTAATGCTTTATTTTCACACGCAGTTTTCAAATAATATTCTGTTAACCAATAAATGTAAAGTCAAGAAAGTAATTGTACATGTTTACTTAACACCCCCCCCTCCCAACACACACACACACACACACACAGTGTGTTTGTAAGACCCCGATACTCACTACACGTACTAGGTAACACACCAGCAAGTCACTACATTTTGAAGAGTCACCACTTACACTCATGTAGTGAGTTTTCTAAAGTGTTGAAAACGGAATTTCGCACCGTATATTACCCAAAAAATACAAAATTGTTCATAGTGTGAGTTTCCGGTCTGAACGTGATTTTTTCCACACACATTTTCATGCTGCACCATGGCGTTTACACACTTTCCCGATGGATTTTTTGCGCATGCGCACGAGTAACTTCCGTGAAAATGGACATCAACAGTAAAAGTAAGTTATTAACAACATATTTTGACAATTTTTACATAGTACAAAATCCGAATTAACTGTTTTTGACATGTTTTATTATTATTTAGTCGCTTAAAGACCAGAGTACTGATAAAAAAATTATAACATGATTTTAACAGATTATTCTGTTAGAAATGACATTCAGTTAAGGATGTGAATAAAGTTGCACTTCTTCTAAGGATATTTTCTCTATTAATTGAAATAATTAACTTTAAAATAACGTACCGTGTTTAATGAAATTATTATTTTAAACTTTAAAATCAGTTTTATATGTTACATAACATTTATTAATATTGACTGAATTTCCTCGAAACTCCGACATTTTAAAGTAGTTTGTCAAAGGGAATGCGATTGCAAACAGATAAATTAATAAATTATAGGCCCTAAGTTTGTCTTTTGTGCACTTAACATTAGGGTATTGAAAAAAGTCATTGTGAGTTACTGGTTGTAAAAGTAGAATGAGGGATAATCCGAATTTCCTGATCAAGAATGATAAAAGTGGACTTACCTTTTCTTAAAAAAAAAAATGTTCAGTAAATAAACATATGTAAATTATTTTAGTTAAAACAAGTGAATTTGTTTTAGTGTTCTTTTATCCGTTTGTTTGGGGTTTTTTTTTTAGTGTTTTTTATCTGTTTTAAACAATTCATTTTAAATAATGTTGCCTTATCTAATGAGATTATTTCATCATCTCTAATGAAATTATTTCATCATATAATTTCACATTTTATATACCAGTAATTTGACTTTACCAGAACTTCCTGAAAGTTAAGTTTATTTGAAAGAATGAGTTTGATACAATTGCAAAATATTCAAGAGAAAAAAATAAAATTCTTTCATATTTGCTTTAAATTAAAGAACAAGTAATTAAAATAATTGTTTGCTTGTTTACCATCCCTTTGAAAAATTTTCTCTCGTACTGAGATGCCACCACTTACCGGTGGAGGGCCAAAAATTTAGACCTGTGCACCCATAAGCAATTATGGATTTTTTTCATGCCATCGCATACTATGAAACAGAAGCTCGGTATATACTGTCATCCAAAGGACCTGTCCCCATGTCCCGCAATGAGATTCGAATCCGCAATGTAAGCTGCGACTCCAGAGCAAATGCTATAACCACTGCGCATAGTATTAGTAATTAAAAAAGATAAATGTGAGTTAAATGGAAAGAATTTTCAAGCTTTCTTTATGCAAAAGGACGGGAGCAAAATAAATCAACATTTTTAGACTAACATTTTGCTTGGCTTTCGGTTTTCAGATTATTTCTGCTGCTGTAGGGTCAGTGCTGAGTTTTAGTAACTGAGATTCTTTAAATGTGATCATATTTACATGTAAAATTTGTTGAATCAATTTCATTTTCATTTATTAATTTTTTCCCTTATCTATTTATTCATTTTGCCATTCAATTGAATAGTTTTAATTTTATGACCAATAATGTGTTTTTCTATTTTTAACCCAATTCTTATCAATTAATTTTTCATTTGAACTGCCACCAGACAGGTTGTAACACTCCAGTTTTACACTGTTGTAAAAACTGAGCAAACTTGACTTAAACATGAGGTCTATTTGTTAAAATCTGTTAACCTTTACATGATTTAATATATTAATAACTACCGTAATGGTTGAGATTCAGTATCCCAAACACTGCTATCTAGAATACCATGGATATGTCGGTGTGATTTTGTGGTCCAACCATATATTATTTAAGTATATTATACTTTCATGTAACTTTGTTGAATCTGATTTGTCGAGAAACATTTGTTAAAAAACACTATTACCCACTGAATGATGAAGTCATGCCCTCCGGCATAGGAACAGTCAACAATGCTTGATGACGGGTGATATTCCAAAAATAGTGACTGCGCAGAATTTATGCACGCAAGGTTCACTTTTATATGTATTCGCATAAAACATTCAGCATAATATAATAAATATTGCATGTAGTTGAGTGTAACATTGAAAATTTTCACCCCAAGAAAACCATTGTCAACCAAGGCTGCACCTCGGTTGACAATGGTTTTCTTGGGGTGAAAATTTTCAATGTTACACTCAACTTCATGCAATATTTATATAATTTAACCCTCGATATCCTGAATCCTTAGGAATCTTGAAGTTCTTTCTCAGTAATATAAAGTTTGAGATTGTATTATATAAATACTGCATGTAGTTGAGTGTAACCATGGTAACATTGAAAATTTTCAGCCTTAGAAAACCATTGTCAACTGATGCACAGCCGAGGTTGACAATGGTTTTCTTGGGGTGAAAATTTTCAATGTTACCCTCAACTGCAACTACATGAAGTATTTATTATATCATACTGAATGTTTTATACAAATACACATTACAGTGAGTCGCCCGCGTGGCGCAGTGGTTAGAATGTCTGCTCTAGAGTCGCGAAGTAAGGAGTTGATCCTTACGTCGCGGGTTCGAATCCCACTGTGGGACATGGAGAGCAGTCCTTCGGATGAGACCGTATAAACCGAGGTCCTGTGTCGCAGTAGGTGCTGGCACGAAAAAGATCCCTCACTGCTCAATGGCCGTAAGTGCCGAGTATAGGACAAAATTTGCAGCTCTCCACCGGCAAGTGGTGGCGTCTCCATATGAGTGAAAAATTCTCGAGAGGGACGTTAAACAACATACAAACAAACAAACACATTACAGTGAACCTTGCGCGCATAAATTCTGCAGAGTCAATATTTTTTTGGAATATCACCTGTAGTCAAGCAATGTCGACTGTTGCTATCCTGGAGGGTGTGGCTTCATTATTCAGCGGGTAATAGTGTTTTTAACAAATGTTTCTTGACGAATCAGATTCAACTAATTTAAATGAAAGTATAATATTAAAAATTATGACTTAGTCGGCCTTTAATCTATCTAAGAGTACTACAATAAGTAAATGTTTGGGTTTTTTAATACATATAATACAATACAGAACAATGTGTTTGGATATAGCAAAGAGACCATTTCATTTATGCAATATGTTGTAAAAATGACAATTTTAAAAAAAATATCTTGGAAGGGGGGGGGGGTCCTGAATCTGCCACTGTTAATGTACCTGAAAGTGGTCAATAAATCACAACTTACTTAGGGAAGTCATTGATTACCAGTCTGATAATTAGTATGGGTTAGGAATTAACAAGACATATAGTATAGATTGAAATAGTAATACCTGCTTAACTGGGTTAGCAAAATAACAATGAAACTCCAAAAATTTTAAATACAGTCAAACCTTGATATTTGAGGATTCAAAATACCCAAAGAATAAGGGTTTGGGACTTCAAAATCCCTTCAACATATATCCATGATATTCAATATATCAGTGTCATGGATACTGAAGTTCAACTTAAGTAATTATTACTTGAAAACTTGATATGTTTATATACATATACACTATGCATATGCACTATATGTTTGTACTATATATATACACAAACTAATTCTCATTAATTAGGAAACAGCAATATGTTGTTATACAGATATCATGATTTATCGAGTTTGGTGATGCATTGAATTCGCACATTTTAGGGTAAATACAATGTACAGAGCTACAGTTTATTAGACTTTTTAATAAGATTTCTTGTCGCCTGCATGACGCAGTGGTTAGAGTGTCTGCTCTAGAGTCGCGGAGTAAGGAGTTGATCCTTACGTCGCAGGTTCGAATCGTGGAGACTGGTCCTTCGGATGAGACTGTATAAACCGAGGTCCCTTGTCACAGTAAGTGCTGGCTCAAAAAATATCCCTCACTCGCCCTGAGTGCTGAGTATAGGTCAACATTTGTAGCCTTACACCAGCAAGTGGTAGCATCTCTATATGAATGAAAAATTCTCAAGAGGGACATTAAACAACAAACAATCAATCAATCAACAAGATTTATTAACTGGAATGAAATCTATAAGACATCAGGCCTAAGGAAAAAAAACATGCTTGTATACATGTACCATTACTTGCTAATAAAAAATAGGGTTGATAGGTAAAATTTTGTTTTTATTTGTTTAAATTTTTTTTATAAAGGCATAAACATTGCAATTCATTTTTTTTAATAACAATTTGAAATTTTTGCAGAAAGATTGGAAATGACAAGGGTTAAAAACATGAAGAATGCTGAAAAAAAGATTTTAGGGAGTGCCAACTCACTTCGACATACATGTATCCCTGGTATTTGAGATATCAGTATTCTAGATAACAACCTTCATTAAAAGAAATTAAAATCTATAACAGGATATGAATGCCTTACCCAGGATAAATTTTGATGAAACAAGGAAAAAAGTATCAGGCTTCTATGGTTCAAAATCAGAGTAAAGGAGGAATGATGAGGTCAAGGTCAAAGTAAACTTTATAAAGGTTTGAAATATTATGACACAGTTGAATAACTCTCACCAATTTTGTGTTATTGTACATTTGATAGAAATATTATGAATACTTTCTTTAAAAAAAAGAGCTGTAACTAAAATAAATAGTAAGATTAATGATTAACAAAAGGAACAGGTCATAATTTGGACACAGTTGAAATGTTATCACCAATATGTGTCAGTGGAAGTGCATAGATAAAAATAAATTAAAAGATTTTTATAAGACTAAGCTACAAAATAAGGAATAGCGAGGTCAAGGTCAAAGGGAAGATCAAGATAAAAAAAACTGACATAGTTTATCAGTTCTCAGATATGTGTATAAATAAAAATATCTTGAATAATTTCTTTGAAATTGAACTAAATGCAGATTGAAATAGTTGGGTCAATATCATAGGGGTCACAATAAAAATTTCAGGACACATTTGAATACTTACCAACATGTGATAGTACACTGTATGTGTATTTGGATTAAAAAATTCTTGAACAGTTCCTTTAAAACTGAACAAAATGCAAAATGAAAAAGCTAAGTCAAGGTAAAAAAAAAAAATGGACACATTTGAATAGTTCTCACAATATATCATTGTGTGAATTTAGAAAAAGATATCTTGAATACTAAGTATTTCCTTTGAAAATCAGCTGAATGTTAAATTCAAGTGTAGTAAAGTCAATATAATAGGGAAAGTCAGACTTTCAGAGGATTGTTGGAAACATGCATTAAATAATAATTATTTCTGATTTAATTGTAATATTATTTTTTTTAGTTTTGAGGGTAGGGGAATCATATTCAACATTTTCTATTATATTGTCAATTTCTATCAGAGCCTTCCTATTTGTGGATTTTTTATGCACTGTACAGCAAATACCTGACCATCCTTAGATTTATTTACAACTTTTATGAGCCTATATAGCAGGCAACACACATGTTTTTTTCTTGGAACACTTTAGATAAACATACATATGTACAAGTAAATATTTTTTGGAAAGAATTTTCAGCATACAAAATAATGCAACATCCGCTTAATAAGTATATTTGGCTTCGTATTCTTAATTACTAGGATAATTTGAATTGCAATATCAATTACATTCAAGTTTCCAGAAATTTATAGTCCATGAATAAGAGACTAGGCAATATTATTCACCAGAGTGGGACCAGTGCATAAACATAGATTTATAAAGTCTTAAATAAATTGGTCCCATACCTTCCACTGCAGTGAAAGAATATATTTCCCGTCCACATTTTGTATGAAAATTAAATCAAAGTAAATTAAAGTTCATAAATACGCCTGTACATATATACAATATAATATGACCTTTAAATTTCTCCTTCATCAGCCATGTTGAGGCTGTGGTATAGATGGCTACTACTTGAAGGGTACAGACTCCATTCAGTTGCAAAATATTTGGTGATTTCCTTTTCTAAATGAAATATTTGGGAATTTTAAATGTGCATGATTTTGGATATCATGCAACCTGAAAATGTTTGAAAGTTGTATAAAATCTTACTTGACCATGACATTTTTTATTTCTAAGGAAATATGACATGGATTGTTTTTCTTGTAATACTAGCAGGGATATATCCACTGCAATTCAATCAAGGGTGTAAAGAGATTTTCCTCTGGTAAATTGTATTCTATACATCCTCAGAGGCTGAAGCAGCAAGCTAACTTGTAATACAAGATTTGATTGTATAGCAAGCCAGCTGGTGTAATTTAGTATGTACTATGTACAGCTTGAGCCGAAGGTTAAATATTGAGATGTCACAAGGCATAGTTAAAAAGCACTGGGGCCTTCTGCACACATGTATGGAATACAACACAGAGTAAATCCCCTACACCCTTGAATCAACCTCAAGGTGTATGGAATACAATCCAGGGTAAATACCTGTACACTCTTGACTAAAAGTATATTATATGCTTCTAACATACTGTCTAAATCTTAAATGTAGCATACTTTCTAAATTTAAATTGATTAATTAATTTCCTGATAATTTGATTGAATTGATTAATTTGACAGTTTTGCACTGAAGGCCAGATCTAAATTGCCCAAAAACTAGGAGGAACCTGTGATTTGAGGGTTTATTTCATGGTTTTGAATTACTATTCATGAGTCTTTTCTCATTTCATAATAAAATCAGGGAGCTTTACTAGGAGGGGGTTCGGGGGGGGGGGGGGCCAACTCCCCTTTTATAACCAAAATTATTCGTATAAAGATTAAGAAATTTTATTTTGCTGTTGCTAAATATTGCATTTATAATTTGTGTCCCAGGCCCTTAATCTTTAGACACCCTTCTGGATCCGCCACTGCCCTACAGTTACTGAGTTATATCAGGTCCCTGGTTATATAGATTATGTATGTAGGGTCTTTTGTTGTTAAAATGACTTGTCCCACCCTAAAATGGCCAAAATAAGTACCTTTGCCATCATACTTTGCAACTGTCCCACTCTAAAAGTCATAAATATTGCCTGCAAATTACAAGATTTTCATTTTTCAGAAATGTGCTGGTTACCGGAAGTTCACAAGAACCAGTTAAGCGAAGGTAACACCCTACAACATGAACATGAACTGATCACTGAGACTGCATTGCGTATGAAAGACAGTTTTGTAAGTATTTGTAAGCTTTAAAGTATAAAAATCTTCTCTTGTTACTTTTGAAGATGGAAATTTAGAAGATGCTTGAAGTTCATCGTATGTACTGTGAACTTTGGAAAGTTGTCACTTAATTGAGAAAATTCGAAGGTATCGGGTTCGTTCGCCCTATCTACCTGTTCGCACGAGTCCGTTCGCGCAAGGTCCGTTCGCCATTATTCTTGTTCGCCCTATATCTTGTTCGCCCTATTATATATACAGTAAATAATAAATATCAACATTTATTATTAATTTTATTCAATATTTTACGACTTGGCGTTTTTTTTTTCCAAATGTTACTACAGAATTTTTTTTTATTTACCGTAATCTTCAAATTTGATATTTATGCCCTTTACATGCTTAATTGATTTAATTATAATTAATTATGTCACTGTAAGTTTTGAAAACAATTAAAGGACTGAGACGTTAATTTCTGTTGGTCTGCCGGGTCTTTGATAGGACAGGTATTTATAGTGTGACCACATGCATACGTCTGTTGTCTCCCGTGTGCAATTTATGTACCAATGTACATACAATTTATTTAAAAAATCCATTGGTTCATTATTCAACTTTCTGCAATATAAATAAGACGAACGGACCCTGTGCGAACAAGTTTTAGGGCGATCGGACTCTGGGCGAACGGGAATGAGGGCGAACGGCGTCAAGGGCGAACAAGTTTTAGGGCGAACGAACATACAACCAAATTCGAACTAGGTCAGTTGTATGTGTCAATTTTTCGGAAAGATATTCTCTATAGTGCCCGTTTTATTCATTTTTTATACACGTACAATGAACACAGTTGGGCCTGCATTACAGTCTATCCTTGTTTGGGATTGGGAAACACAGAAAAGTTACAGTGTCTGTTTACGGGTTTTTGGTCAACTCATATGATCGTATCTAGGTCAGATCTTCTCCTACAAGTAAGAGCCTCGGTTAAACGTCCCTACGCTCCCTTATATACCTCGGATCGCCAAGTCAAAAGTATATCGCCGTGAACCTCTAGCATGTTGAGTAGATCAGATCAAACCCAATAGGTCAACTCATATTAATGAAACGACAAAATTCGTAACCAGGAGAATTGTTACAAGCTGACTCCCCTATATAAATTGATGACAACTCGTAACTTAACAATATTAACAACTTATTACCCCTTTTGAGATAAACATGGTGAAATACGGACCCAAGACTTGGTCTACGAGGTGAACTGACCTGACCATAGATAGAATGTTCTATTGTTAAAATGATAAATGTCCTACGGACCCTGCTTAACGATAGAATGCATTTCGTGTATTGTCTGTGTAGCAAAGAAAATACGGGAGATAACTCTAACTTAGTGCATTTACTATGAAAAATCCTGAGAGTTCTGAATGTCAACATGGTGTGTAAATTTGAAACGAGTAAAAAATGTTGGTGAAAAAGTGTTGAATTCTTCCATTATATGGATTTATTTAAATTTTTAGATGAAAGGTATTTACAGTCTCAAAAAGGTTTGTTATGATTAATTTGACTGTTATTTCCAATGCAACTTCATTAATTTTCTCCAAAATCATTTCAGAGCGATTCTGTAATTTTCTGCTATATTACTGGTATAGGGGAGGCATTCTAACTGTAGTGAGGGCCTGTCCCAAGACACAGTTAGATTATTCTAATTAACCTGACCAAGGCCACATAGTGGCCGAGGTCAGGTCTGGTTAGCAAGTCGTTCATGTCAAGGGTCCTTCTTTTCACCATGTGGAACTCATATGGGGTATCAATTGTTTTATTATACCGATAAGAAAATTATATATTATACACTTGAGTGCATGATATTGCATTACATTACCAATGTTTTTTGAATGGGATCTTGATTCGCTTGTGAAGTTGTTTATGCTGACTTCTGCAAGTCATGTAAGTTTTTGCATAATGATTTACTGATTAAAACAATTTTTGATTGACAGTAACATGCATTAAATTGTTATGCCCTGTTCACACGGAGAGTTTAATTCACAGTAAATTAATGCGAAGTAAATAATGTGAATTAAAATAATGCGAATTAAATTGTGTTCACAGCTAATGTGAAGTAAACTAATGGGAATTAAAATTTTATTTCTACAGTAAGGCTATTCAGTAAGGCTATTATGACATCATTTTCAAATCAAGTCACTTTATGCGCAGCAAACCCATATTACATTCTGTCGTAGTGTCTATGCACATTTCAGTGATTAACATAATTTTTCTTTGTTTTCCACTAAGAAATATTATTTAGCATAAGTATCCATATCTGTCCACAGACATGTGGCCATTGTGCCATTACGCATGCGTCAAAATTTAATTCGAATTAGCTTCGCTTAGCATTCACACGGAGCTAATGCGAAGTAATTTAATGTGCAGTTAATTAATTTGAATTAAACTAATTCGCATTAAATTCCCTGTGTGAACGCGGTTCAAATTTAATTCGCAGTAACTTATGTTTAATTTGAATTAAACTCTCTGTGTGAACAGGGCATTATAATTGTAGGTAACTTTTACTGAGCAAAATGAAAATCTGGTGCAGAATTTTACTATAAAGAAGAGCCAAGTCTGCATTTCCTGGAATTGAATTGTAACAAAATTTTCAAATGAATAAACAAGTAAATTTTTTGACTTATAGGCCCTAGATCTGTTGTATTCCATATCATAAACAGACAATGCAAATTTTATAACACACTTTTTTAACGTATAATCATTATTCTATGCATTAAGTCAGGGATCTATATTCTAACGGGATAGGCATCTCCTTCAGTGCCATGTTTACTCGCCCAAAACGTCACACACAACACTACAAGTTTTTCAAACTATGTTTATTCTCAGTAAAAAATTTGTTTTCTGATAAATGTAATCTGTTCTTTTTGTTTATTGGAATGGATATTTAATAAATTTTAAAGTATACGTTGTAAAATAATCTAAATGTAAAGCAAATTACCACCAAATTTTGCAATTCTCGGCCGATCAGGGGCATGTGTTGATTTAACATGTTTAAGTGATTCAAATTAAGAGATAGTTATGGGATATTCCAAATTATTGACTCAATGAAATTGAGCCTATGATATTATCTGAAAGAAGAACAGAGGTCAGTATATATATATATATATATATATATATATATGTATATATATATATATATATATATATATATATATATATATATATATATATATAATTATAATAGTAACTTGATCCGAAGAGCCGTATCATGTCAAGTTGACATGCATGGATCATCAGATCAAATGAGACACGAAGTGTCGAGTTTGATCTGATGATCCACGCCTGTCAACGAGACGTGATACGGGTCTCAGGATTAAGTTACTGTTATAATGATAAATTTATTATATACCCCTTTACAACTAGCAAAATATAATGAAATGAAACTTTTAGGATCAATTACATAACTTTTATCCGTTAAGCAAACCATTTTATCAAGGAACTTTTTGATCCGTGAGAATAAAAACAGCATTTATCTGTGTCAACTCAAAACCATATATGTTTGTATGTTAACATGTTAAGATTTGAATTGCCTTGGGTACGACTTGACTACGGCCATACGACATTGGGTGGCAGGGGATAGTTTCATACTATAGTACGCGCTGTCAAATTTCTTTAAAAACTGAGGTATCCCATGATTGATGTGATATTTTATGTAGAAAAATGAATAGAATAATTATGGGATACATGTACATGTGCAGTGTAGCAGAGCTTGCTGAGAAAAATGATGTGCATCATGTAGGTGTCACTATGATGCTTAGCATATATAGAGTTGTAAATGAGAAACTAAGACATTTGGTCAGTTGCAGAGGAAATTCAGCTGAAAAGCAGTGGTGTGCATCTCAGAGGGAAGGTGAATGGCCCCAGATCAATTGGTGAATTTTCATTAGGGCATGCATTGTTCTACAGAATACTGGGTGTTTTATCCTGCTCGATCGGGAATGGGATGGGCTGTATAGGTGCGACAGCGGCCCAAATCTTGGAAAAACAAGCCAAAATCTTTGGAGACCTCCAAGTGCATTTTCGGTACATGTGCACTTTAATATGTAGGTTACATGTTATATGTTGACACATTTTTTGAGTTATAGATATATGAAGTGCAATTAATTAGCACCCAAGAAACTGCCCCAAACTATCTGTTTTTATTGACCTCATGCATATGCCTACCACCTCGGCACATGTTTGGCATTGAAAAGAAAAATTATCCCCTGCCACCTTGATAACAGATATGTGGAAATTAATTTTCTGTTTTTAGAACTTCATGGAGATTTGTCATCTATTACAGCAAGTATTTAGAATAAAATATATTTAAACCAAAATCATTTTTTAATGCGAACTTTTAGAGATCAAAGAGCGAGCCTAGATAATTAATTAGAATTTGTTAGTATGGTATTTCATTGTACATGTAAGGCCATTCCAAGTTTTTTCTATGTTTAGCGTCCGTGTGTGCCTTGGTTTTTTGACATCCCTTATCAATAAAAAACAAAAAACAAACAAACAAAATCAGGAGTCCTGAAGTTGTTTATTCTGGTCGAAATCACTGAATTCTGTCAATTTTTGTCTACAATATGCCATATTTGGAATATTTTAAGCATTTAATACCTTGATTTTGCTGAAGAATAAATATTTCTACAAGAAAAATAGATTAATGGAATCATATCCTTTGAATGACATCATTTTTATGACTATAATGACTTGTGTTTTACTTTTTGGTTTGTGTGTTTTTTTGCGAATAGGTAGGGAGGTATTTGAAAGATGGGTGGACGCTAAACATAGAAAAAACTTGGAATGGCCTAAGGTAATATTTTCCATGCGCATCAATTTCATAAATCTGTGGTGCAGCCATGCAAAATGACTTGATATTTTGGAGTTAGGAACCACATCAGAGGAAAAGTTTGTTGCTTTGCCAGTGGATGTTAATATGTTGATTGGTGGCTCTGATTTTATTAGGTCACCTGAGTCACTCAGGTGACCTATTGCTACATGTATCTGTTTTCATTCAGGTGACCTATTGCTACATGTATCTGTTTTCATCTGTCGTCATGAGGGTGTGCGTCTTGCGTAAACTTTTTACATTTTCAACTTCTTCTCAAGAACCACCTGGCCAATTTCAACCAAACTTGCCACCAAGTTACCCTGGGGAAAAGTTATTCAAGTTTGTTCAAATGAAGGGCCACACCGTCTTCCAAGGGGAGATAACTAAGAATTAGTGAAAAATTAATGGCATCTTTTAAAAATCTTCTTCTCAAGAACCACTGGACCAGGTAAGATGAAACTTACGTGGAAACATCTTCAGGTAGTGTAGACTCAAGTTTGTTAAAATCATAACCCCCAGGGGTAGGGTGGGGCCACAATGGACGATCAAAGTTTTACATTATAGGAATACATAGGAAAAATCTTTAAAAATTTTCTTCTCCAGAACCACAAGGCCAAGAAAGATAAAACTTATGTGGAAACATCCTCAGGTAGTGTAGATTCAAGTTTGTTCAAATCATGACCCCTGGGCAGGGGTGTGCAATTACAAAAACTAGTTACTAGCCTAGGCTAGTGGAAGTAACAAAGTTACTAGCTCGAGGTTGACAATCATCACTAGCCCATTAACTACTGAAAACAATACATGTATAAGTATAACAAAAAGGTAAAAAAAAAAAATCATTGAAGTTGAAATAAATAAAACAAATAATGGTTTGCGCTATGTTATTGTCAGGTACTTCTCCCTATTTTTATCGAATATAATTGTCACTTAAACGACTGGCGATAGCAACACACAATACATATATGTTGAAAAGAATTAAAGATTACGATTTTACAACAAAGTTAATTCGTACATTAATTCAGTCGATGTAAATATACGTATACTTTCGTTTCAGATTTACTAGCCCGACAGGCTAATGCAGTATAGATTTATGATAGCCCAACCTCTAAAATTGGTAGCCCTGGGCGTTGGGCGATGGTAATTGCACACCCCTGCCCGGGGCAGGGCGGGTCACAATGGGAGATCAAAGTTTTACATGGGAATACATTGGAAAAATCTTCTCCAGAACCACTGGGCCAAGAAAGATGAAACTGATGTAGAAACATCTTCAGGTAGTGTAGATTCAAATTTCTTAAAATCATGATCCCCGGGGAGGGTGGGGCCATAATGAACAATGAAATTTTTACATTGGAATACGTAGGAAAAATCTTGAAAAAATTATTTTCTCAAGAACAGCAAAGCCATGATTGGTTATATTTACATGGAAGCATCCTCAGGTAATATAGAGTGGGGCCACAATTTATGATCAAAGATTTACATATGAATACATAGGAAAAATCTTTAACAATCTTCTTCTCAAGAATAGCAAAGCCATGATTTGTCTTATTTATATGGAAGCATCCTTGGGTAATGTAAATTCAAATTTGTTCAAATCATGACCCCCTGGGGTAGGGAGGGGACACAACAGGTGATCAAAGTTTTAGTTAGGAATATATAGGAAAGATCATTTAAAAATTTTCTTCTCAAGAACAACAAAGCCATGATTAGTCATTTTTATACAGAAACATCTTCAGGTGCTGTAGATCACTAAATTTTCGGGACACTTAATTTTCGCGAGATAGTCACTGACTCCTTATTAGCGAGACAGAATATTCACGAAATGTGTTTGCTGTATATAATCTTTAGGAATACTAATATAAGCGAGAATGAAATTTTCACGAGCACACTGTCTCACGTAATTACGCAAAAATAAAGCTCTTGTGAATAAAAAGGGTTTTACAGTAGTGTAGATTCAAGATTATTCAAATTATGACCCTCGGAGGTAGGGTGGGGCCATATTAGAAAATAAAACTTATAGGAAAAAAATCTAAATGGGGGACAGATTAGAACTTAATTTATGAGTTGTTACTGAATATTAGACTAATTATTTCGATGATCATGATCATCCTATTTTTCTTGCTTTTGGGCAACAAATTAAGGTTCTTCTATCAGTTTATTTTATACTCTGTGGATCCTCTATGGATTGTTGTTTTATACTCACGTGACCGTTAAGGCCCTTGGGCCTCTTGTTATATGATACATCATGGATATCATTTAATTTCGATGACGAATACCAAGAGTGCAGACTGCAATGAACTTACAAACTAGAAAATCAGGCTTTCTTGCATTTTGTGGGGCCAGCCAAATGGCGCAGTGCACATTTTACACTAATACAGTGGCTATACAAGCTATAATTTGGGTCCATTAAAAATGAATTTGTAAATTTTTTTATTTGTTTACCGAATAAAATTATGAAAATGTTGTAAATCACACTTGAAATTGAACATGTGATTTAGATGGCAAATCATAATTATTGATTTTCGTTTGTGTCGGCATCCCGGTTAAAGTTTTAGGAGCAAGTCCATTCCCAAGTAACTATAAGCTGTACCTGCACCCAACTTACATGGATGATGCATCTAGGGATGGACAATACTAGACTTGCTTCAGATACTGGATCTGACCTAAATTTTTCTAGATGAGTGACCAGGTTAAAGTTTTTGGAGCAAGTCCATGTATTTCCAAGTAACTAAGCCCTACCTGGACCAAAGTTGCATGGAGGATGCACCTAGGGATGGACACTACCAGACTTGCTTTGGATGCTGGATCTAACCTTTATTCTCCAGATGAGTAATTATTAGCCTTACCAGAACCAAACTAGCATGGAATGATGTATCTAAAGATGGACACAAGAAGACTTGCTTTTGATGCTGAATCTGACCTACATTTTTCAGATATGTGACCAGAGTAATGTCTTTGGAGTAGCTCTATCACTATATGACATGTTATGACTAAACTTGCATGGATGACGAAACTAGGGATGGACACTACCAGACATGCTATGGATGCTGGAACTGACCTACATTTTTTTTATGAGTAAACAGTTTAAGTTTAAAGTTTTTGGAGCAGGTCTATTCCCATGCAACTATAAGTCCTACCTTAACCAAATTTACATTGATAATTGATCTCACACAATATTGGTACAAGATTTACCTTACTTATAGATACACATTCATTAAGCTTTGTAATCTTTGATTAACTATGTTTATATGTTGATAAAAAAACTCAATAAACAGTTAAATTTTTTGTAAAAAGTATCACTAGTCAACCAAGAAACTTGTTTTCCCTTAGATTGAACACAAGTTTTGGTGGTCATTTGATTACAGGCAAAGAATTGATTAAAATTTTAAAAAAATCTTCTAATATTTGGTCGATAAAATATTTCAGGAGGGATCATTTCAATGACAAAACGAAAGGTTAACAATGGTTTTCAAAAGGGTGTCAATTTCATTTGTTATCCTCCAAAACAGGCACCATTTATATAGTATGTTATGAATTAAAGCTTATGTATTCCCTGATCACATCTGTTTTCAGAGAAGACAAATGTCACCTTCGTCAAAAGCAGATTTTTACTGCCAGGCTGGCTTTGACCAAAAAGGATTTGAGATCAAATTTATATCAGACTATAAAAATAAGTTTATATTATTAATTTACTCTCAACGTCTGTGGTTTTGTTTTGTAAAGTGGATGGATGTAGAAAGAATAATATTGCTTGAATTTCATATTTTTTCATTACATGATTATAATTTTATATGCTCTTAATTTATAGTTTTGTGCAAAAAAGTTAAAATCCAGATTGATCTGTATTTAAATCTAAGTTTGTATATTTTTTCCAAAAAATATTTTTTGTATAATTTTTAACATAAATGATGTTTAAACAAATTGGAAATACTGGGACTGATTCTAGAATAATCCCCTAGTTACAATATGATGTCACACAAAGACACATTTAGCAGAAGACTTATACCTGGAAAATAAGATCTCAGAATCTGAATTGATAAATTTTTTTGTAATATTTTGTGTCTATAAGTAAGTCTTTTATTGAACCTATTTGACCAAAGTGAGCATCGTGGCCCTTGGGCCTCTTGTTTGAAGACAGTTTTAATTTTTAAAAGGTGATGTTGAATCTAAATGCTTTGATGTTTTAGACATCCAAACAGCTAGCTCAGATGTGGAAGTGGAATCGGACCCTTTTAGTCGGGAATTCAACGGGAAATTCATTTGACAGTGATGATGATGATGAGATTAATTCAGGTAATATGTATAAATAAAATTATACAAGTTGTACTACCCAGTCTGCTGTTAAGCTAATTTCATGATAATGTCATAAAGAGGGATTTAATATTTATCATGTTTATTCACATGTTTTTGGACACAAACTATTTTTTTTATGTAATGCCACCATCAGTATCAATACTTCATAAAGATAGGCTTCACTCAGTCTGACTATTAAGCTAGATTTATAATAAGGTTATGAACAAGGATATATTTTCATCAAGGAGCAGTGGTCTAGCTTCCACTTGTTGCAGTGTCTCCTAAATTGTGCACATCATTGAAGAACCATTTATAAAATTTTTAAATCAATCAGCCAGAACATTGTTATAGCAAACATGCTTAAAATGAATTTATATGCTTACATTGAAGTGATTTCCTTCCCCATAGATTTAAAAGTGTTGTAAATGGAAAGTTTATGTTTAAAAAGAATTAAATATTTTGGTCCCCGGCTCTTTGCTATTGTAAGCATGTTTTACTGTATTATTCCCTGTTGTTTGAATAATTAATTTATCTTCATTTTGTGTGATGCCATTTTAACCATATCTACTAGTGTTGTCAATGAGTACCTGGTTTACTGGTTAATCGGCGAACAGTGCGAGTATCAGATAGTAAAACTGCTACTCAGTTACTCGGATATATAGACAAAAGTAGAAAAGAAATGTTATTTTGTTCAGAAATGAATGTACACCTCTACCATTTTATTTACCGTTATTTAACGTTAGACTTGATCTAGCGTTTCACAAACATGACCGATTTGTTTTGATAACACTTAGTTTTCACAGTTTATCTAATTGATGGCTTTGATTGCCAAGCGGTATACAATGTAGAAAACCTGGGTTAATTATAATTAACTTACTTATACTGTGCAAGTCAGCGGTACAGGATTAATTTTAAACAAGATGCCTCCACAGCCATCAAAAGCATAGATTCCGAAATGTTTTAAAAGAATTTAAATCTGAAAGGTGTAAAATATGTAAAATGAAATTAACATACACAGAAACAAAACTAAAGTAACATTATATTTAGGACATCCGCAAAAATTGCCAACTATCACAGGATATTCAAGAACAAATTCATTTAGAAGCTTTATTTTGTCTTTTTGTAATTAAAAATAAATAAATGAAATGCATCTACAGTGCATTTGCATTTGATATTGGCCAGTATGTAAATGTTAAACATGGAAATTGTAATGACGTTACATATATTACAGTTATTATTGAATACATACCATGAGCAAGGATGTTTAAAGGTCTAAAAAAAAATCCATCCGTGTAACCGTTTACTTGATCGGAAAAGTAAGCGAGTAACCGGTTACTAAAAATTGTCCGATTTGACAACACTAGTATCAACACATAATTATAAGATTGGATGCTGCTCGGTTCGGATGGCCAGAGTCATTTTTATGACATAATTGAAGACATATTACTGGCATTTTGTTTTTCTCACATTACTTGAATTCTTGGTTGTCTACAACAAAAATATTTAAATTGATATTTGTAACAGAGATTTAATTTGCAAATTTAAAAATAATGTTACAGTAGTTAAGAACTGGAATTAGTATAAAAGTAAGAAAAACTGGTATACATAGCTAACACAATGAAGCATCAGCAAAGTATTGAAATTATGAAGAATAAGAATCAGAGTGAAATGTATTGAGCATGGATATGAAAAGTGACATACTGTTATGAATGAGATTGAGTGGCCTTTTGCTTTTCTAGTTAAGGATTTTCCAAAACACTGATTGATTTGTATTTGAGAATAAATTGTAGTATTCTTATGAGATGCAAATCCAATTTAAAAGCTTCATCAAATTAAAGACAGACTGAATTATATGTCAAAAGAATGTGAAATGGCATTTCATTTTGAAATAAAAACATGATTTCAACTCAGAAAAACCAATGGGGTACAAAGTAAACAAACTGGAGTGACATACCTAGATTCTCTCTAATGGTCTAATACATGTATGTTTAATTTGGGATGATTATTTTGATTCCTTCATTCCATAGCAACATTGATGTGAAGCCAGCAATTATTTTCATGCCACGTACAGTATCTAATAATCTCTGCATTAGTCACATACCTCAGTATTTGTGTCAATGTTTTGAGTTTCTATCTTTAACTTTAAAATTTATCACGCAGATGTAGTGAATTTCCATGTCAGAGGACAGTAATTGCACATGTAGTGATTTTCCTTCCCAGAGTATATTATTTACACACACATGTAGTGAGTTTCCTTGCCAGAGAACATTATTTACACATATGTAGTGAGTTTCCTTGCCAGAGTATATTATTTACACACATGTAGTGAGTTTCCTTGTCTGTTTAAAATTATCACACACATGTAGTGAGTTTCCTTGCCAGAGTACATTATTTACACAGATGTAGTGAGTTTCCTTGCCAAAGTACATTATTTGCACACATGTAGTGAGTTTCCTTGCCAGGGTAAATTATTTACACTCATGTAGTGAGTTTCCTTGCCAGAGTACATTATTTACACATATGTAGTGAGTTTCCTTGCCAGAGTATATTATTTACACACATGTAGTGAGTTTCCTTGTCTGTTTAAAATTATCACACACATGTAGTGAGTTTCCTTGCCAGAGTACTTTATTTACACAGATGTAGTGAGTTTCCTTGCCAGAGTACATTATTTACACACATGTAGTGAGTTTCCATGCCAGAGTACATTATTAACACACATGTAGTGAGTTTCCTTGCCAGAGTATATTATTTACACTCATGTAGTGAGTTTCCTTGCCAGAGTGCATTATTTACCGAAATGTAGTGAGTTTCCCTGTCTGTATACATTTATCACACAGATGTTGTGAGTTTCCTTGCATTGGTTTATTTTCATTTTCGATCAATGTTTGGAATCAGCTTCTGTTTCAATGTTATCGATTATAATAAGACACCAGATTTCTACTTTACAAAGCATAATTTTGAAATTTTAAATTCAAAAGTAATGCGAATCTTTTATCAAGTATATTTTTAGAATCTACACACCTAGCTTAATTAAAAATCAAAACAAAAAATGGGGGTTAATGTGCTTCTCTTAGCGCTATTGAGCATTTAGTTTGACTTTTTTGCACTGTAAATACAGATAAACTTCGGTATCTCGACATCGGATATGTCGACAACCTGGGATATGTCAACATCCTTCCGCGGTCCCGGCAGTATTTACTATATAAATGATTTGCAAATACTCTGATATGTCGACCTCGGTAATGTCGACAACCCGGGTTATCTCGACGTATATTCACAGTCCCAAGAGCAAAATTTACCTGGTATATGTCGACATCGGCAATTTTCTGCTCTACTGAACCTAACTGTTTGTCTGATAGGGTCGCTCGTCATGCACGGACGACTCCGGGTATCTCGACGTCATCAAAGTTTCACACCTTTCACACCCATGTTTTGACTGCACGCTGCTTAATTAATTCTATAGACTGTGTTTGTAGGTGAATCCCAAGCCCCTTCGGCGTCTTTGATAAGTTAATTGAGCTTGGGTAATATCATTGCTAAATCTACATGATTCTGCGTAGATGTACAGACTGTTATTTATATCGAAACCTAACTATTAAATTTGAAAAAGATAACTAAATTACAATGAATAACAAACACACTGAATAATTCAAACTAAGGAATTAAAAAAATGTTTTAATGATAAAATGTATTCAACAGGAAATAATCCAATTAATGACATGATTGACCGAATCAGCGTAATTCGTGTATCTGTAACATCACTACGTTAGTTTAGATACTCAAATCTTTTTAAAAAAATTAATTTTAATGTACACTAGAAAAAAATAATCGGCATTTAATTTTTTTTTACCGTATATCGGATGTCGACTTTATACGGTTCGAAGTTTATAGAGCGCATTTCGTATCCTGTTCTGACGAAAAGGCAAGTTACATCCAAATGCAGCTCAATGCTGTAACTTTGTACTGAAACTTTGTGAATTTGGAAAGATTTCGATAAAGAACACGTTTTATAATAACTTCTTAGATTTTTAATAAAAATAGAGGGAATTCTGAAATATGATGAGCTACAGTCTATATTAAAGTCATGTACATATAATGAGCTTGTCTGTTTTGGTATGCAATGAAATCTTAGATGTCAAGTCTCAATTCTGATATCTCGACACCTCGGATATCTCGACATTTTCCGATGGTCCCGTCGATGTCGAGATAACGAAGTTTACCTGTACATCTTACACATAAATCAATTTTTAAAGTTTTTCCTCCATTATTTTTTTGAAATAAATTATGGGAACAAACACAGTCTTATTTCACCTTGAATAGGTGTATTAAAATTTGTGACAACAAAAAATTTTCAAATTACTTCGCAAGTTCAATTATTTGACCTTTTTGCACTCAGAAAATATTTTTCTGGCATTAAAAAATTTAACAAGCAATAAAATATCTCGAAAGTAATGACATTTTACTGAATTTAAGAAGAATGGTTAAAAGTATTTTAGATATTCAGAAAAGAAAATTAAAAGTGGGGGTCTGTGATGTTAATTTTTAGATACTACCAAAATAGTGCTAATTTTAAGCTTAATTTAAGATACGGCTATTTTTTCTTGATTTTCACAATATATTTGCTATACTTATCAAATATAATAATAGAATTCATGATATTTTATTTGATATATAATTTAGGACCAGCATAAAACAATTCATGGCTCAGAATAACTCTGTGGGTAGGCTGCATAGAAAAATAGGAATCCAAACTTAACATACTTTAAATACTTTGAAGGAGAAAGAAATGATCATTTTCTTCTAAAAAACCTTCCGCCACAAAATATACTGTACGTGTACATAAATTGGCGTATTCAAAATTTAGCGAAATCACTGGGTTTTGAGGTGTTGGTGACATCATGAATTAGCGCTATAAATGTCTGTACCGTATATTGTATTTATAAATGATTTCTTAGTGGTATTCATGAATTAGCGCATTGTTGTCTGCGCCAAGGGCCCCCTAAAATATGAAGCCTGCTTTTTTAAGTACACATACAGTAGTTCCTCACTTAATGCTTTTGGTATGGAGTTTTAACTGAATATATTTTAATTGGTATTGTAGAATCCAAATTTATTGTAAGAACTAAAACATTATGCAAAAGTGGAAATACAGGTTAAGACAAAAATCTGCTCAAAAGCTCAGGAGCATTTTACTTCTTCTGGAGAACCACTTGGCAATTTTAATTTGTTCAAATGAATGGTGACCAACTTTTCAAGGAGAAATAGCTATGAAACAGTGAAAATTTGATTCATATAAAAACCTCCTTTTTATAAACCATTGAAACTTATGTGGAAGTGTCCTGACATGGTAGAGATTCAAGTTTGCATGTTCAAATCTGACTTAATGGGGTAGGTGGAACCAGTACAGGGTTGTGGTTAACTTTTGAAACCTTAGGGGCCATGTGGGCTCCTAACTTTTCAAATTTTACGGGCCCACAATGTGATCCACGGGCCCACTTTATATGCAAATTAAAAATAAGAACACAAAAATCCTAAATGTTTCTAATTTTTTTTTATCGTAGTATCTATATGTTCGCAGTATATGGATTTTTGTCGCGTTTTCTCTTTTCTAAAAACTTTGATCCAATAATATGTTCATTAAATTTAGTAGTATTTAACCTTAACTTAAACAACTTAAGCATCTATGGTTTTACAAGGGGGCATATTAAATAATAAATTACAACCTGTGATCAAGTTGATCCCGATCTTTTATTATGTGCATTTGACACGGTAATTCAAATTCTATCTGTGAATAACTAGTCCAATGGCGTGTGTGACAACCATAGCCAATTGTTACAATATTTCTATTAGAACAATCTCAAAGATTTGCTCTCGTATCATCAAATTTAACAGAGATTTAACCGCTTCGATAAATCGCCATTTTTGATCTCAGTTACATGTTTGAATAATGCAACACAAATAATCTAAGTTAGTAGAGTGTTTTCTTAAAAACTGAAAGTACATAAAATAAAACTGAAATGTGATTATGTTCCGGTAAAAATTCGTTCGCCATGTGGGCGACCAGATTTTTAATATCTAGTCGCCCACCGCAAATTTTACTTGCATTTGCGAGTGGTTATCCACAACCATGCAGTATGGAATCAATATTTTTTTTACATCAACATATAAAAAAAAATGTCATAATAAGATGCAGTCATAACATGGTAGTTTGTTCAATTGTCTTTTTGTAATTAAAAATAAATAAATGAAGTGCATTTACAGTGGGGTAGGATAGGGCTACAATGAGGGATTGAAGTTTTTCATTGGAATGTATGTCACAACAGGACATTGATTAGTGATATTAATGTCCTAGCTGTTATCCTCAGAAAGTGCTGTACAATTTTTTTCCCAATCATGGTTCCTTAGAGGTACCCGTAGAGTGGCACAACAATAGTGGATTAAAGTTTTTTGTGGGAATGTTTAAAATAAAAAAGAAATGGAACTTTTTTTTAAATACAATGTATTTTGTGATAAAGAACAAACAGCAGCATTTTTTTTTCTTCCATAACTGGTACCATTGAACAGAGCCATTCCACCAAAAATGTTAATTATTCCTAGTTTGAGAGCATTAATATTTTTCATAAAATTTTGAATTCATCTATTTTTATGAGGAAAAAATTGCAAAATGCTAAGTTCAAAATCTTTGGGATTGGTATTTTGACTACTTTGTATGGACATTCTTTAAATAGTGCACTGTGCACAAATTTGGTTGAGAATGCACATTTAGTTAAGTATTTTAGTATATCCCTATTTGTTCAACCTATATATACTGTCCTGTCTGTCCACTTTATTTTGCAAGTCATCTAAATATTTAAGTGGTAGCCAAAGAAATTCATTTTCAGGTGATTGATTAGTTTTTGTAGATGTGTATGAATTTTGATCTCTCCCCTGAAGCTAAGCTGAAGTGAAGTGATAATTCTGTTGAACATGAATTGTTAGATATCAAATGAATTCCAAACTTTAAGACTTCGTTTCAATACGAAGGGATATGTTAAGATTCGAGCATTGATTGGTGTATACAATTAAAAGAATGTCTTTGTGCTTGCATGATGAACTGGGTTGAAAAATTTTGAAAATATTAAATGTTTCCCTCAGCTTGTTGTGATCCTCCTGGACATCCAAGTGTTTTCGACATTGATGAAGATTTTGTCACTCTCTCTCTTGGACCAAACCAAGAAATGATGGTTTTAAGAAGATTATAGGATATGTCATAGAATACGAAGACCCCACCACTGGAGGCAGGCTAATGACTACCCAGTAGATGAGTGTGTTTATGAGGGTGAGTAACTGATTACTTGTTGACACATGTATCTTTCTTATGAACTAGTAAGTGGATTTACATGTCCTTTTGTTGCATGTAATTAGTATATTATGGCTGAAAACTGTGAAAAGATGTTTTACAAAAGTGATTCTTGAAATTTGTTTTGTTTACAAAACTTGAATTTGAGAATTTTTTCATCAGTGTAGGGATTAAAAAAGGACAAGGAATACAACTTCCACATACGGGCCAAGAATCTTGAAGGTTTTAGTGAGTCTAGTGATGTGATTGGTCCCATAACTCCCAAGCCCAAATACAGTAAGTATATTTGAAAAAAATTATAACATTTTAAAAAACAATTACCATATTGTACTTTAATTTCAATTATTTTTTCTTTCACATTTTTAAACTTTTATTTTAGCAAAGGTTTTGCCACCTGGTGTACCAGAGGCTGTCAACAATTCTATAATGGTGGCTGTAAAATTACAGGTACTAATTTAAAAGTAGAATAAAAAAAGGGAAATGTTGATCTCTGTTCAAAACCACATAAACACTGTAGCAGTTGATAATACATGTATTGATTACTTTGTAGAATACCCTATGGAAGAGAGGTTTAAGGGAGCAGCGATGTGGTGTAAGTGTAATGAGTACCCCTGCACTGACCCCTCTTTACTGTCACCGATCTTCCTCAGGACTCAGAGTGGGAGTTTAGAGTTACAGCTGTTAACTTTGCTGGAAACTGTGAGCCCAGTCTGTGCTCACCAGCATACAAAATCCAGGAGAAGATTGGTATGTTGTCAAGTTAATAAGTGTATTGTACATTATTATGGTACTAGAAAAAAGATTTGGAGGTCAAATTAAACCATAATGTGTATTTTCTTCTCAAAGCCCATAATATTCTCACTTTACTGGTCAGGAGCTGAAATTTATGTGAAAGCTTCCTGATGTAATAAAGATTTTAAATTGTTCAAAAAATGGCCTTTGAGGTAGATGGGGCCACAATAGGGGATCAAAGATTTACCTTGAAATATATACATACATTTATGTACTGGTTAAAATCTTTACGAATCCTCTTAAGAACAACTGGACCACAAAAAATATTTTTAAACCTTCTTGTAGCTTCCTTATTGTTCAAATCATGGCCAAAGGCATGCATAGTAAAGGCAAAAAAAAAAAAAAAAATAGATAACCCCTATTGTATTCATAAATTTGAATCTTACTTTTTAAGAAAAGTGTTATTTTCCAATTTAATATCTAATTTGAATGTTTTGACAGAGTCTTTTGCAATTGAGCAGGATGAGGAATCACACCAATCATTCATAAATGAAAGCAGCAGTCATGATGTTGTCAATGAGAATGGTAATCTATATTTATGATGTTGTTTGGATGTTACAAATTAAAAGTTAACCCCATAAAAATGAACAGTCTTAAAATGATAATTTCTTTTTTAGAATTTTAAATAGGATATGATACAGGGCCACTTTTAAGTGATGAAGCAGACGAGTATGATGATGGTAATGATGATGAATCATACCATCCTTCAAGCGATGAAAAAAGCTGTGATGAAGATACCATTGATGATCTTGGTAATAAAGCTGAAAACAGAACTTTCTTAAGCTCAAGTAAGCTTTTCTGATCAAAGTTTGTCCATTGTCCATCTCCAGCGTCATTGTTGTTTCAAATTTTCAGCTCCTTCTCAAGAACCACTGCGTCAATTTCAACCAAACTTGCCACAAAGTATTCTTGGTTGGGGGATTCAAGTTTGTTCACATGAAAGGCATCACCCTATTTTAAGGGGATATAATCAAAAATAAGTGTAAATTTGATGGCATCTTTAAAAAAAATCTTCTCCAGAAACAATGGGCAGAGTTGTTTACTTGTACAGATTTTTAGTATTTCCCATGAATCTTCGAGTAAAAATGTGCTCTACAGATTCACGTTGAAAATATACAGATTTTCCCTAAAGACTGAAAAAAAAATCAGAGTTGTTCCCGAAATTTGCCAATCAGTTTGATAAAGAAGCTTGTTGATTAAAGTGGTCTTATCAAAAATGATCTGAAAACAATATAATTATGGCAAATGTAAAATATGTAAGCAACAGTAGACAGCATACGGTGACATGCATAGTTAGTGCTTAGTATTTGTATAACAAGGGGTTCTTTATATAAAAATGTCTAATAAGCTGAGTTGCATTTTTACTGACAAACTGCTCAGAATACTGACAACTTCTAGAATACTGACATCAGTTAGAAAAGTTAAACAGGTCTGAGTGGGCCAGAAAAATTATTCTCCAGAACAGCAAAGCCATGACAAGTCATATTAATACAGAAGCATACTCAGGTAATGTAGCTTGAAGTTTTATCAACTAATGACCCCTGGCAGAAGGATGGGGACACAATGGGGCATAAGACTTTTACATGGAATTATATAGAAAATGTCTTTAAAGGCCTTCTTCTCAAGAACAGCAAAGCCATGATTTGTTATATTAATACAGGAGTATTTTTCAGGTAGTGTACATTCAAATTTATTCAAATCATAACATCAAGGGGTAGGATGGGAGAGGTAGTTTCAGGTTTGTTCAAATCATCACCCACAGGGCATAGGGTGGCACCAATTGTATAAGTATAATTACTCAAACTTTTCAATACTGAACTGATTTCTGCTTTTCTCTTGCAAAAGGGCTCAGGTGTCATGGACCATGGGCCTCTTGTATAAGGTGTTATGTATTACATTGTACAATATGTAGATTGTTTAAAGTGAATTAAAATTCTGGCAGAATTTCTGTCTTGAATTTTAAGTATGACTGTTTCTTTATTACAATTAAAGATTAATTCCATAAGTTGTTTTTTCTCCAGACATGATCACAGTCTGAAAAATTGACAAAATTCATTTTAAATAAATTACTTTCCTTTGCATCACATTAACATGATGTTCATTAGCCAGCATTATAAATTATTAATATCTCCATAAGGAGCTTAAATAGAGTGTTTCAATCATGCCTAACAGAAAACACTCATGCCTAACAGATTGAAGTATGGAAAAACAACTTTCATACCTCTTCATTAGGTTTGAATGGGTAAGATGAGGCCAAAATAGGCAATCAAAGCTTTACGTAGGAATATATAGGGGGGAAATGTGCAGGGCCATTGTGACTTCGGTGAGCCATGTGGCCCATTGGCCTCTTCTATAAAAATAAAGATGAATCCCTTTTGTCAATACATGTACATATATAATAATTTCAGATATGCCCAGTAAGCCTCTCAAATCTGAAATGCAGCAGAATCAAGCTGCACTTGCAAGTGACAGCGAAAAGGACAGTGAATGTGAAGATGATCATGATGATGTCAGCTAAGTTTTACTACAGTCAGAGAAGCGAAAGACCAGTTTTTTAGAGGCCAAAAACATCGTCTGGGAACTATGATAATAAAAAACATTCATTTCTCTTTTGTGAGAAGTTTTGCCAGCAGGCCAATTGATGGTATTCATATCATATAAGCCCATAGCTCTTTAAGTACAAAAAATTTTGAGATTCATTTTTAGGTCACCTGAGTCACTCAGGTGACCTATTGCTATCTGTTTTCGTCCGTCGTCGTGCGTCGTCAGACGTCCGTCGTGCGTCGTCCGTCGTGTGTTAACATTTGAACATTTTCAGCTTCTTCTCTGAAACCGCTGAATCAATTTCAGCCAATTTTAGCATATGGCATCTATGTGAAAAGGGGAACATAATTTGTGAATTTCATGGTCCCTGCCCCCCTGGGGCCTGAGGGTCGGGGCTAAAACCACCAAAATTAATGCAATCTTTAAAAATCTTCTTCTTTACTCCTGGACATCAAGCAGTCAAACTGTTAGCATGATTGTAATAATAATTGAGCCCTCTACCAAAATTGTGAAATTCATGGCCCCAGGGTCAGGGGTTCTGGTGCTAGGGCGGGGCTATATAGATCATATAGTGAAAGTGCATTATTTCTTTGAAAATCTTCTTCTCTGCCCCTGGGTATTATTTAAACAAATTAAAAACATAGTTATGATGAGCAAGGATGCCTCTTCTAAAATTGTGAATTTCATGGCCACAGGGTCAAGGGTTCTGGTGAAAGGGGGGGGGGTTTATTGATTATATAGTGAATAAGCAAAATTTCTTTGAAAATCTTCTTCTCTACTCCTGGGTATTATTTAGACAATTTAAATACATAGTTATGATAAGCAAGGGTGACTCTACCAAAATTGTGAAATTCATGGCCCCTGGGTCAGGGGTTCTGGTACTAGGGCGGGGCTATATAGATCATACAGTGAAAGTGCATTATTTCTTTGAAAATCTTCTTCTCTACTCCTGGATATTATTGAAACAAATTAAATACATAGTTATGATAAACAAGAATGCCTCTTCCAAATTTGTGAATTTCATGGCCCCTGGATCAGGGGTTCTGATATTAGGGCCGGGCTCTATTTATTATATACTAGTGAAAATGCATTAATGCTTTAAAAGTCTTCTTCTGTGCTCCAGGGTATTATTTAAACAAACTAAGTACATTGTTATGATAAGCAAACATGCTTCTTCCAAAATTGTGAAATTCATGGCCCCAGGGACAGGGGTTCTGGTGCTAGGGTGGGGCTATATACATATGTAGATCCTATAGTGAAGGTGAATTATTTCTTTGAAAATCTTCTTCTCTACCCCTGGCTATTATTTAAACAAACTAAGTAAATTGTTATGATAAGCAAGGATGCCTCTTCCAAAATTTTGAATTTCATGGCCCCAGGGTCAAGGGTTCTGGTGAATGGGGGGGGGGGGGCTCTATTGATTATATAGTGAAAAAGCGAAATTTCTTTGAAAATATTCTGGTTAAAAAGCAAAGAAGCTAAGTGTATAGTTATGATGAGAAAGAGTGCTTCTTCCAGAGTAGTAAAGAAATAGATAAATAAAAATGAGACAAAAATAACTTGTCTTATTTTAAAAATGTTCATCAAAGACCAAGAGAGGCCAATGTAACAGATTTCAACAAGGAATTCAAATAGTAGAGAAGCACTGATAGTTTGTAATATACTGTATGATAAGAGTGATAAATGGGGAAGAGATAAGAACCTAATTTATGAACTGTTAATGAATACTAGACTAATTATTTTGTTGATCCTGATCACCCTATTTTTCTTGCTTTTGGGCAACAAAGGTTCACCTTTCAGTTCATTTTATACTCTATACATTCTCTAAATTGTTGTATTATACTCAGGTGACCATTAAGGCCCTTGGGCCTCTTGTTGCATATAGGTTCAGGATGGAGCTGAATATTGAAAAAATATATCCCATATTTTTTTTTTCATGGACATGTAGCAGACAGCTGTTTGCATAATTTAAGCAAGTAATTATTTTTTAACCAAAATTTGTGAAATTTATCGCTCATGACCCATTGTTCATGCAAGGTTTACCTATTTATATTGACACTGCAACAAGCCCATAGAATGCCCCCCCCCCTTTTTCTGAGTACAGTATTTTGCTATAGTAAAGTCTCCTCTATATCCTGGTTGCCCCCCCCCTTTTTTTGTTGCAATAAGGTCGGTTCAGTAAATAATTTTTTTTTTTTGCTTGTCAGATATTTTTTGAAGTCCCCCCTGCTTTTGAAACCCTTGCTGTGGGCTGTAAATTGAAGTTTTAAAAAATCCTTTACTGGTGAACATCTACCATTAGAATAATCCATATTCGTAGCAGAGCAAACATGGACCTCTAAAATTAATCTTAATTAATGCTTAGCCCTCTAATTGAAGGCTTCTTCATGTTTCAGGCCCATGAAAAGGCAGAGTTAGTCATAAATTAGAATGTTTTATACAGTATTAGCCAGTATACCTTATCCTCTTTACTTCTGAACTTCTAGGAGTTCAGCTGCATCAATATGATAATAAATATAGAATTCTTGTGAAAATTTACGATTTTTGTTACATGGGTCTAGATTTCTAGATCCAGGCGGTTTTGAAATGACCACAGCCTGAGAGAAATTCATAATACTCAGGTAATAGTCAAAGCCTAGGGCCTTTTGTTGCATTTTAAACACAGGAAGTTATTAACTGCATGATATTTATATTTCTTGCTTGGTTGTCAGCTTTAAGCTTAAAGAGTTTGTTTTTTTTTTTATTTCGAAACTTGTATGTTGTTTAATGTACTAAGAAAATGCCACTATATTTTGCACAAATACTGACTGATTGTCCTTGATTGTTCTTCTGTGAAAATAAACTAATTTTGGATACCTTAAAAATTAACAGCAAGAATTATCTATTAACACTTGGCTTATACATGTGCATCTTATTTCATGTCAGCATTCTTTTTATGTACTTTTTTTGTATAGTTGATGCAATTAAATTGTTTCATGCAAACAAACCGTCTTTTTTGTTTGATCTTTCAAAATGTTGTAAAACATTTGAGCAAAGGGATAAGAGAACTAAAGGGTGCTGTATGAACTGCATTTCGTAAAAAATCATGGTTTTAGAGACCAACATATTTGAGCAATGGGATTTTTAAATGCCGAATTGGAAAATGAAATGATGAATATGAAATGATAGAATATTATGCATAAGAAAAACAATGAAGTGGACTTTCCCCACCAAAGTAATTTCAGTTTTTTGAAGTCATAAAATTGCAAGAATAAATAAGAGGGATCATTATTTTTCCCCTTATTTCAGGTCCGTAGAACGCGGAGGCCACCCCCCCCCCCTTTTTTTCTGAATATACTATATTACTATTGTAAATTTTCCTTTGAATGCTGGTTGTGGTGTCATCCACATAAAAAAGAACGAGATGTTATTACATGAGCAGTAGTTAAGTAATTTGTAATCCTATAAAATTCTTGTTAAGAAAAAAATAAACTCTTTAAGATCATAAAAAACATAATGATTGCATTTAAAATTGGGGAACGATTTTCAATTTCTACTTGTCTTACTCAATGCAACAGAAAAAAAACCCAAAATGAATATTCTTGACGAAACAAGTCTTGAATCAACGCACACTCGGCAATTCATTGCCGTCAGCGACGTAAAAGCAGAGGGGAGGGATAGCTTGACCCCTCCTTTTTTCAAACTTAAAAGTTTTATTTTTAATTTACTGTGAAAGTGTTCATTAAAAGCCCCCCCCCCCCCATACACACACTGTTTTGTTATGTATTTACGGTCATTTCATTGTAAAGAAATTTTTTGGAGGGTTCACAAAAGTTCAACCCACCAATAGGATTTTCGACTTTTTGAATTTAACCTATTTTTCTTGCTTGCCAAAGATTTTCGGGTATTAAGTTGTATTTTCTACCCCCCCCCCCCCCCGACTTTCAAAAACGATGTTACGTGCCTGGCCGTTAATACTTTTAAATCTTTGTCATGACTGTTAATTTATTCTTCTCATTTCATTTGCTTTATATTAATCTATATACAGATGCTGAAAGCCAATTTTTTATCTTTTAACTTTGTCGGATATCGTTTGACAATTTTTTTTCTATAGCATACAGATTTCATGCAGACATTGTCATGTATTTTTGACAATTTTTTGGAAAAATTGGTGTTTTTACGGGAAACACATTCAAAATTTACTGAATGTAGTGATTTTCTTGTAAAATATCTTACAAGAGTGTTTATGTACTGAGTTTCCTGTGTGTGTCCTGGTAAAGCCATGTAGTGACTTGTCAACTTCCGGTGTGTGATTGAGCAAAATCACGTGACCAAATGTAGTGACTTTTAGGTGAAAAATCATTTTTTCATTATTTGAATTTTCATCTTTCTGAACCTCATTTGCATATACAAAGACCCATAGAATCACAGCTATGGTCTGTTTATCTTGTTAGCATTGCTGGAACATAGTGTAGTGACTTTCAGGTGTAAAACCTCGTGTAGTGAGAATTGCGGTTGTACACGTATCACCCTCACACACACACACACACACACACACACACACCCTCACACACACACACACACACACACACAAGCGCGCGCCTCGCAAAAATAACAACAACATAAAATATTTCTCTTAATCCGAAATCGACCTTTGATCGACTTTAAATCTATGAAACACCCAAAATAAATTTTCTTGAAAGTTTGTTTGCCTTTGACTCAATCAATTAATCGTCGAATTTCTGTACAGATGAACAGAGATATAAAATTTACTTTTTGTCTTAAAGTTATTCTGATGTTTATTAATAAAATAAAGTTTCCCTAATATATGAGTTTATATTCCGCTGCCCTAATGCTTTTTCTGTTGTGTGTGTGTAAGTCATCATATTTACGATTACTTCATCTCAATATAACCACTTGTATTAGTTAAATTATTTCCGGTATCAGTAGTGACTAAAAACTAGTGATATTATTCCTTCAATAGAATCCAATTCTCCTGATATGTTACTTTTAGTTACATGTATAAACATATGTGTTCTGATGTATTTCATGTTCACTCATTCAGAAATTAAAAAAAGAGGTTTTTGAGGAAATCAAAATTTTTATTAATCACCAATCCTGCCTGTCAATAACTATTATCTCCGCACAACAAATCCTTCACAATCCAAGAGTCAATAGTCGAATTCCAGCAATTGGACCATGTGTTTAAGCTTCTTTAAGAAAAAAAAAATACACTTTTAGACCATTTCTAATATAGCCTGTTCGGGCCGACATATCCTATTGCTTGCAAAAGCAGACTTTATAGCTTTATTATTGTGTTTGTTTGTTTTTTAACTTTTTTCTATTTTATTTTCCTGTACGTGTTTTTGTTTATTTATTTGATTGTTTTTATTTATATTTTTTTTTATCTATTTGCTTTTTTCACTTTATTTTGAAAATGAAAAAAATTGATGTTGAACATCAATGACCTAAATGTTACCGTGGAGAATGGACAATCCCTTTGTTATGGTTAACTGTAGTATCAAAGTAAAATCCCTTTGTTATGGTTAACTGTAGTATCAAAGTAAAAACTTTGAAACTTTGATAAACTTTAGTAAAAACTTTGAAAATTTGATCTACCCTAGTGAAAACTTTGA